GACAGGAGGAGATCAATAAGTGGCTATGTGTTTACTGTAGGAGGTAATACTGTAAGCTGGAGGTCTGTGTTGCAACCAGTGGTAGCACTATCCACCACAGAGGCAGAATATATAGCTCTTAATGAGGCAGTTAAGGAAGCTATTTGGATCAAGGGTCTGATTCAAGACATGGGTTTCAAGATTAACATGGGAAAGATTTGGTGTGACTCTCAATCAGCGATTTACTTAGCCAAGAACAATATGTATCACGAAAGGACCAAGCATGTGGATGTGAAGTATCACAAGATTAGAGAAGTCATTGAATCGGGTGATGTCGAAGTTCTTAAGATTCATACATCGAGAAACCCAGCGGATATTCTAACAAAGTCTATTCCGGTTACTAAGTTCAGGTCAGCTTTAGAGCTTCTAAAGTTGGTCGGCTGAAGATGGAATTCATCTATTGCCAGAGGTTAAACTCAAAGTAAGTACAGTTCACTTCAGGGAAGGAGAAGAAGAAACCTTGAATTAAGGTGGAGATTGTTAGAGAAGAAGCGGTATAATTCAAGTTTCTGGTTTGATTCCGGTTTAATGTCAAGCTAGAGATGATTGAATGGTTCTGCAGTTTGCAGTTGGTTTAGGAGAAAGTTGAGTTGGTACAGTGAAGACCAGAACCACGTCGAGGGCTACACTGTTTCATTTTCAAACGTGTATAAATACACATCTCCAAGACAGCTTCTTTCTCAAGTTGGCGAGAAAAAGACATAAGTTTTGTTCATTGTTGAGACTTGTGTATTGCTCAGGTTTTGAGCTGTAATCTCCTTCTTATTAGTGGATTGTCAGAGTTGATCTGGACCCGGACGTAGATTCAATCACACCGATTGGATTGAACCGGGTAAAAATCTTGTGTGCTTGTGTTTCCTGCTTTTTTTTCTCTGTTCTTCTTTCCTCTGTTTTAACAAACAACAAACGTGAGAGAGAGACAAAGGAGAGAACATGAATGATTTTGTGAGGCTGAAACAAACTGCAGAGAGTGTGAATCGTAACACCTCTAGTGTTGGAACTCCGAGTCTAACTCTCACAATATACTGGTAGCCGGCATACACCAACTCTTGAATGTTGAAGAACTTGAAAGAAGGTGCGATAATCGCAAGCTTTCGAGTGTAATTTGTCAGTAAACTACACAAATGCTTGGGATCATCGACTATCGTTATAATCGACAATCTTTGTAAGTAAGGCATGTCGATATCCAAATTCAGCAAAACATCACTGGTTTTTTCTTCCAATGTTAGGTCAGAAAGAACAGGGCATTTGGATAAAAGCCGACAAAAGGAATCATTGCTAAAGTCCACCATGCGGGCAACATGCAGAGTTTTGAGGAATGGGAGACATACCGCGGAAGAATAAATGCTTATCACATCCTTCAAGCCTTCGAGTTTCAAGGCCACAAGTGTTTTACACCAAGAAACGTCGAACTCAGCAAAAAAGAATCTAGATTCCCTTGTGACCATTAGGTCTGTAAGAAAATTGCAACTGGATAAAAGCATTTGAAGGGACTCAAAGTCGAATAAACTCGAGTGGTCAATGTGCAGAGTTTTTAGGGATGGGAGACAGACCGTTGTCAGAGGAGCTTCCACATCAATCACTATACCTTTGAGTTTCAAGACAACAAGTGTTTCGCAGGTAAACAATTCAGGAGGTAATAAGGTATGGACAATACAAGCATCTATCTCGAGCTCACGGAGGTGGCAATGATGATGACGAAGCGCGGTACTAATCCATGGTCCAATGTCTTTATTCCACAGGGTCACACTTAATTTGACATGAAGGCTTTCTAGAACATGAGATTGGTGTGACAACAGTGACTTGTCGAGAAATCGTTCAAAGAATCTAGTGTGATCCCGAACATCGTACTTGAGTATAGGCACCCTTGTCCATAGAGATTTCCATTCTTTTGACAAAAGACTTGTCACTACAACATGTTTTGTAGAAAGGAATGACAATATCTTCAAGATCAAATCGTCGGGTAACTCGTTGATACATGAACAAACCTTCTTTGTCATTGTCTCTGTTTAGGTCAAAACATTAGACTATGTTAAAACTCTTTATTGCTTATCAAGTTTATCCAATAACTGATAGATCGTCATATCAAATATAATTTCCAACTAATTCTTACGAGATTTCGTGTGAGGTATAGAATCTGAAGATCTGGACGAAGAAGATTCACCGAAACTCCTTTAGATCTGAGATCTCACCACCTTTTTTCGACTAAAACCGATCTGATTAATGTTCTGGTTCAATTTCTTGGTTCAATCATATCCCTCGTTGTGTGTTTGACTATATGGGCCAAGTAGAAAACAGAGTCTTAAAGGCCAATTAATTCCTTCTTTTCAATAAAAAATCCATTACATAAATATGAAATATATCAAAATTGTGCTTTCAATATATAAAATCCCCTTTCAAAAAAGAAGAAACATAGAAAGTTGTTGATGTGTTGTAAGGAGTTTGGCTAAAAAACGATGACAATTTTGTTATTAAAATTTGATATGATATGATTTGATAAAAGATATATAGTAAAAACTTTCTTTTCAGTTTTTTTTTTTTTTTTTGTAAAATATTAGTTTTACGTTAACATAACTTTGTAAACAAAAATTGGAATAGCTAGCTTGCCACTTGCCACCCTTCACTATCACTATTTTCCTTTTGGTATCTAGGCTATTTAAATTGTTAAATGTATTTTCTATGATTTTCATACATATTAAAATTTGATAAGAAATATATTATTTTTGTTATTTATAATTTTCTATAACACTAAACCAGTAATTTTCTTGAATTTATAATTTATCAGTAATAACTAATAAATATTGCATAAAAACTTAAAATATCTATTTTTTGAATTATTTTTTTGAGAAAACACAATAATAAAGCGTCAAATGCGTGTAACGGCAATCGTTCGTTTGTGGAAAAACTAATGAAGCTTTTCTCAAAATTTTAAAAATTAATATTCTCTTCAGGCTTCAGCAAACACCTAGTATATGAATATATATGTATGTAATGTCCATCTCCTCTGTCTCCAACCTCATTTTTGTATAAATATATAATCTTCCTTTTAGGACAGAACCCACCGAAAGAAAGCTCCAAACCCAACAAAAAAAGAAGGCGGCGGAGAAGCAAACAACGTCAACAAAATAATGCAAGCAGAGATTTCAGATCAAATATTCTATTCATTCCTCACCGGAGGATTATGTGCCTCGTCGACTTCCTCCACCACAACGTCGTTGTTTTCCTCTTTTGCCATCGAAGACAAGGTTGCTGAAGACAAAGCTCTTGCTTCTCTGAGGAACCATAAAGAAGCTGAGCGAAAGAGAAGAGAAAAAATCAATTTCCATCTCAACAAGCTCCGCAACTTACTCTCTTGTAACTCCAAGGTACAAATCTTTTACTATATCTCTATTCTACTCTAAACTATAATGAAACTTTCTTTGACAAACAAAAAGAACAATGAAACTAATCATAAAAAGCTTAAAAGATAAGAATTGAAGATTAAACATGATGAAACTATTAATTCTTTTGGGTTAGTTAAGATATGAAATTAACTCCAACATTTTATCTTCTTTACTCGTCTATACATATAATTTAGAAAATAATTTTTGAAATAAGGATTAGAGTTTTGGATTTTATCTCACCATGACTTTTGTGTGTTTTATTTAAATCTATATAACCAATTGACAATTCTTTTTTTTCTTGATTAATTAATATTGCTTGGTTAATTCACAGTATATACTGTCAATTCTGTCAAGTATTTTATTTATTGGTAAGAAAGGTGGAATATTGGAAGTATATCACTTATAGAAAATGAACCATTTTTAAACACCAGTCCAATGTAATGTTTTCGAATAATTAAAAAGCTGCAAGCACTGGGAATATGTATCTAGAAAATTGAGGAAAAATAAAAGCTTACAAGTCCTTTTTTTTTCTCTGAAGCTGATAATCACTTTGTCGGGAAAGTTATCGAGCTTTTTTTTTTCACATTTGAAAACAATTGAACATCAAGACAAATTCTAATGATCTGACCTTTTCTCTTTCCTTGTTTCCTTATATTTTTTATTTTCTTTACACAGACAGACAAAGCCACACTACTAGCTAAAGTGGTTCAACGAGTCAGAGAATTAAAACAACAAACCCTAGAAATCACCGACGAAACATTACCGTCGGAGACAGACGAAATCAGTGTACTCAACTTTGAAGACTGTTCCAATGACGACGGTCGACGGATAATCTTTAAGGTATCGTTTTGCTGCGAGGACAGGCCAGATCTCTTGCAAGATCTCATGGAGACACTCAAATATCTTCAGATGGAAACTCTCTTTGCCGAAATGACAACAGTCGGTGGTCGAACAAGAAACGTTCTCGTTGTGGCCGCCGACAAAGAGCATCACGGCGTCCAGTCGGTGAATTTTCTACAGAACGCACTCAAGTCTTTGCTTGAACGGTCAAGCAAGTCGGTGATGATGGGACATGGTGGTGGTGGGGAAGAAAGGTTAAAACGACGTCGTGCTCTAGATCACATCATAATGGTCTGATCTTTATGAGACTTGAGCACTAAATTATTTAGGGTTTAATTTTAGAGATAATTGGCTAGGAGACAAGGATTTTGAGTCTAATTAGTTTTTCATAAACTTTTGTCGTGGTCCATATCATATAAAATTTCAGCCCTGTTGTGAACTGTGTCTTTCATTAATAGAAAAGGGGATATATATACAAGGATAATAGCAGGATACAGAGAATAAGGTAAAACCCTAATGGGCCGTGGGCCGGTTATGGAGTCCATCCATATGGTTTATAACACTCCCCCTTGGAAGACATAACCGTGCCCGATACTAAACCGGGATCTCTATAATGCGCTGGGGAATGTTGCCTCATTAAAACCTTACCAGGAAAACCCAGTGGGACAAAACCATGGTGAAGGAAAAAGAGTACAACACGCATTACTCCCCCTGATTTGAGCATCACTGTAGATCCTTAAGTCCGTGCATCCCGATCTGATGAATAAGCTTCCGGAACGTTGAAGTCGGCAATAATTTGGTGAATAGGTCGGCTGAATTCTCACTTGACCGGATCTGTTGAACTTTGACCTGACCGTCCTTCTGTAATTCATGAGTGAATAAGAGTTTTGGCAAAATGTGCTTTGTCCGGTCTCTCTTAATGTAGCCATCCTTGAGTTGAGCAATACAGGCTGTGTTGTCTTCAAATATGATGGTCTTTGATGTAGTAGTAGCTGCGCCTTAAGGAAGGCTGCCTACGTATCCTAGGAAGGGATCAAGCCACACGTAGTTCCTATTCATTGACCATTCCATAATATGATCTTATGAATATCCTGCATTAGTAAATCAAACTAAACCAAAGCAAACTGGACCTTCTTTGGTTAGATCAATATAGAATAAACCCAAGTAAACAACGCAGGAAGAATAGACTTTAAAACTTAACCAAACCTTCCTTTAAACCTTTCCAGTGCCTTTGGGTTGATCATGAACTAAATTTAGACAGGAGACTCACGGCAAAACAAATGTTTGGTCTAGTGTGTCTAGCCAAATTCATTAGAACTCCTATGGCACTGAGGTATGGCATTTCCGGACTGAATGGATCACTATCCAATCTGAGGCTTCTCACCACCATTGGGCCTGGTCAATGGGTGGGCCTGGTCCTTATTAAATCTCCTTGAGTACTCTTTCAGTGTATGCCATTTGATGCACAAGGATTCCATTATTCACGTACTCAGGTTGTAATCCCAAACAGAACTTAATTATTACCTAGGTCTTTCAACTGTTTGGTCGATTACCCAGAGGGTTAAATCATTCATATAAACTGCTATGATTACAAATCCTTTGTTTGCAAACTTCTTGATAAAAATACATGGACTGATCGGATCGTTTTTATAGCCTTCTCTGATGAGATATTCGCTTAACCGGTTATACCACATACGTCCGCTTTGTTTCAGTCCATATAAGGATTTGTCCAGCCTTATGCAGTGCTGTTCTCGAGAATCTTTCTTATCTTTGAGCTCAATACCCTTTGGTAATCTCATATATTATCCAGTGGACTTATATAAATATGCAGGCATTACATCCATTAGCCACAAATCTTTCCCTTTTATATAGCCAGACTTAGCAAAGATTTAAATGTCTTAGCATCCACCACAGGGAAGTATATCTCCTCTATTTCTGGTCTCTGTGTGAATCCTTGTGCGATAAGCCGTGTATGATATATCAAGCTTTCACTATGTTTATTTCACACAATCACAAAGACTCATTTGTCCCACTGGCTTTACATTGATTCTTAGCTCCACGTTTTATGGTCTTGTACCATTTTAATCAATCAGGTCTTTGAGTGCACTCTAGTATAGACGTGGGCTCCTGATCCTCATTCATTTCAGTTGCTACCTCATGCGCAAATATATTATCATTGATGTCGACATCTTTTCGGTTCCATTGTATTCTAGACATGATATAGTTTATAGAGATCTCTTTACACCTTCAGGACCTTGAGGTTTGGCGTCCCAAACCTCATTGATTGGTACCTTAGGGTTATGTCTATTAGCCGGCCATGTCTATGGTTTCTTGAACCTTCTCGGTTTCCTTTGCACCTTTCTTTGATTTCCGAGGGTTCTTGTCTTTGGAACCTTTTGGGTCTACCACGTTTCTTACGTGTTGTAGCCTCTGTAGCAACTTGATTATGTTCCTTATGAATATCAATATGTACTGGTGCATTACAAGCTGGTATGTACGATTTTGTTACTCTCTTTGGGTCATTATAGGAATCTTGGCAACTGTTTTAGCTAGCTTTTGCAGATATATAGTCTTTTGGATCTCTGATGGAGTCCGAGGATCTTGCCATGTGAAGGATGTTTGATTCCATGTAAGTTCTTTGACCAGCTTGTTAGTCTCTCCACCCAGTGTTGGGAAAACGGATTCATTGAGATGACAATCCTTGAATCTGGCCTTTGGCTCGAGATACTTAATGATGGTGGGAGAATCATTGTTAACGTATATTCCCATCCCCTTTTGAGGTCCCATCATTTGCTCTCTGTGGTGGTGCAATGGGTACATAGACTGAACACCCAAATATCTTAAGATGGGAAACGTCTGGCTCATGACCCGTTAGTAATTGGGATGGGGAATATCTATGCTCACTAGAATGGCCTGATGCGTATAAGCTCTTGTTGCATGTAATATTGCGTGTCCCCAAGCAGCTACTGTGAGTTCAAGTATGGACATGTGCCACGGGGTATACTACTCTCCCCCTCATGGACATACTGTAGCCATAAAACGCTTGGGACATAATTTACCAGCATTATCTAGACATATAGTCTTAAGTATGTGGGCTCACAAACTTATGGTCTGGGCCAGCAATCTAGCAAACACCAAGTTTCTAGTTGCTTTGACTGGTGATGACCTTAGTATGGGTTTCCCTTGTGTATATGCTACACACGTGAGGTCCTTAAGGAGTGTGCCTTTTTGATTTTAATATCAGCTTTACGCATCATGTTAGAACCAGGCTGGCCAAGCCGGTCATGCCATTAGTGAATTTCTCAATAAACCCTTTTGTTTACTGTATTAGCCTCTATCATATTGACTTTGGCATAGTAAAGATATATGACGCGGGTATAGTCTCTAAGACCTTCTCATGGTCTTGGGTGCTCTTAGTAATATATGGGAATCCTTTGTTCCCTTCACCCTTAGTTTCAATGTGGAAACCATTCAAACACATTTCTTTGAAACTCAACAAGCCCCTTTGAGCTGGGTGAATATGAAGCATCTGAGGATGCGTGCCCTTGGGAATATGGGCCTGCCATGGGCCTACCCTTAGCCTTCACTAAATTTAGCTATACCCGCAATTTGGCTAATGAACCATGTCTTTAGATATTTCGTTTATTGAATTCTCATAATCATCTATCTCATGGTCGAAATCTTCTTCACCATCGTGATAAACTAAATGAGCTTCTTGATTCTTTTCAAACTCTCTTGATAGAGATCAACGAGATGCTTAGGTGTCCTGCACGTCTTAGTCCAATGGTTTCCCCATTACTCATCAGTGGCAAACAAGTTTATTTGAGTGTTGTGGTTTGGGTATACCGCGGCCTCTACCTCGATTACGACCAAAGTCGGGTCGGTGGCCTTAACCATATGAATGGTTTCCTTGATCATATAAATTATAATTGCCACTTCTACCACGTTCATTCCATTTACCATGACTGTGGCCATGATACTTATCTCTTTGGACGTGGTTAGACTCTTTAGTCTCTTTAGGCTTTTTAGGCTCTTCAGCCCAATGGGCTTCTGGTAATGGGGTATGACCAGGAGGTCTCATTTCACTATTCATAATTCATTGTTTTGCTCAGCAAGTAGCAAAACAAGAGTTTAGACTTGCATATGTGGTAAAAACCTTTTTCACGATATTGTTGCTGAGGCAATATATTGTTTGTGTGAAAGGTCGAGAATGCTTTCTCTAGCAAGTCATTCTCAGTAACTTCCTCATCACGGAATCTCAGTATTGACACTATTTTAAATAGTGCTGAGTTATACTCATTCATGGATTTGAATTCCTGGAATCTGAGATTCTTCCGATCGAATCGGGCTTTTGGGTAATAGCACCGTTCTTTGGTGGTTATATTGAATTTTTTATTTTTTTTTTTATTTTTTTTTGTTTTCAACTCTGTCCTGAGGTCCAGATGATTCTTAATAGTGAGGTACTGATTTTGAGACTCTCATTGAGGTGATGGCGTATGTCAATAATCGCCTTATATCTTTCTCTTCTTGTGACATTGTTTCCTTCCATAATAGATTCACCAAGCCCTTTTTCCTTTAGGACAATCTCAGTGTCCAAAGCCTATTTTAAATAATTGTCACCAGAGGCATTGAGTGCCGTGTATTCATAATAGTTGATTTCTGATATCTATAATATATAGAGTTAAATGAGAACTCATGTAATCGGTTAGACCAAGTCATGCGGTATTTAAGACCGAGCCATGCTTGTCTTCAGCAAGTGTTTTCTAAACAATCATGTTATATATATATGGATGAAATCAACCCTAGAAGATTGATCTAGTATGCAACAACCAAACAATCGGATCATACTAGATTAGGATATTAGGATTTCGCGGTTAAGTTTTAGGGTTTTAGCATCCGCGATTTATAGTACTAGGGTTTTTTCAAGGGTTTCGGTTTTATGTGTGGAACTTTCTATTTATGGAAACTTTCCTTATATGGAAACTTTCTATTTCTGGAGATTTTCTATTTATGGAAACTTTCTATTTCTGGAAACTTTCCTTATATGGGAAACTTGATCCTAAACCGTGACTTAGGGTTTATTAAACCGGTTTAACCTAGGATTTAGGGTTTCGGTTTACTTTCGGTTTAACCTAGGGTTTATATTAAAACATTCAATCTATCATGCCATTAAACATCTTTCCATTCACTAACTTCTCAATTAATTCTCCAATCATAAATCAAATCACATGTGCCAATTTTCATGCAAATTTTATCTTATCAAACTTTAATTGGATCATGTATATAAAGCATAATAAATAAATAGCACTTATCTTAATTGGAGAACTGAAACAGAGACCCGAGATCTGATACGGAGATTGGAAACAGTTATGTCTCTTAGCTGGTTGAGACCTCCTACAAAATCTCAATATATATAATCCTGATTCCTAAAAAACTCAGAATTTTGCTCATGGAAACATGTCTATTACATTAATCATCAACTTAGCCAAATAATAAAATAACAAACATATGTCTTCCACGGGAAGCCATAATTGAAATCAACATATGGAATAACTAAAGACATTTGAGCATGAATCGATCTAGATTTGCTGTTAATTTCTAAACCAATATAAACAGAATAACGATCAATTAACAGTTGCTAGACACGATATTCGGTAACACAATAAACAATAGATTAATGATCTTGCTTTCAATTAAATTAATGAGTCATGCTTTCAATTACACAGAGTTTTCAATTTGACAAAATTAAACGAACCAAACAGTAAAGCATGATTACGTGCACTTAGCTTCTTTGTACAATAATTAAATGATATTCTCGTGAGCATAAACTGATCTCATGCATAGATAATTAAATAAACAAACCAAACCATAGAGAATCATAATTTAATAAGCGACATCGAACAAAGTAATAAACCATGAAGTTACTTATCTCTAATACGGAGACGGAACAGAAGATGTTCGAAAACGAGTATACCATCGACAAGTGTTTTGACAACAAATATTTTAGAGGCGGCTAGGGTTTTGTGCTTGTTTAGTTGGGTAGGGTTTAGTCAGGTAGGTAGACCTCGTGCTGATAACGTGTTGTGAACTGTGTCTTTCATTAATAGAAAAGGGGATATATATACAAGGATAATAGCAGGATACAGAGAATAAGGTAAAACCCTAATGGGCCGTGGGCCGGTTATGGAATCCATCCATATGGTTTATAACAAGCCCCTCTTTTTACCAAAAATAGCCTTACGCGTGTTTCCACGCGTCTCTCTCATTTATATAAACTATCATCTCTCTTGCTTATCCAACCTCTCTCTTCTACATCAATCAATCAGTTTTCTAATTTTCTTTCAATCATTGTATCTCTTCTCCGGCGAAGTTTTTTTTTTCGCCGTTGTTTCTATTTCTCGCAGTCAACAAGAATTTTCATCTTCTTTTACGGTATGGAGTTGGTTCTTTTAAGAGTCGGTCGGTTTAATTTCATCCGCGTTTTTCCGGAGTTTTCTTGAGTCTAATGGAATCTTAGGTCGATTTTGTTTGTTTTTGTGCTCCTAGTCACCGTCGTTGGTTTTAAATCTACAGTTTCTCCGTCATTTGCAAAAAAAACCCGGCCATTCTATATTAGTCGTTTCTTCTTCCCAGATCTTGGATATTCACAAATCAGCATAGATCGATACTTTTCGTGTTGGACATTCACAAATGAGCATAAATGTATACTTTCGTGTTTGCATGTTCATAATTTTGTTGCGGCTCCAATAACTAACGAAGATCTTCACCTTTTTCGTGAGGACTATGGCGGATCTAGATCTTCCTGCTAGATTATTCGCCGATCGAGAAGAATATGTGGGTGAGCGTGTTAACCAGTACTTCAAGCTACACATGATTAAAGCTGTCCTGAAGGCTTTACAACCGACGAAGCTTGAATTGATTCGGCCGTGTTTTGGGAAATTGCTCGATTCACATCGCCATTGTTTATTCATCGAAAAAAGATAACTTTCATTATACAAATAAGGATGTAAAACATTTTTGGGATCTTCACAAATAGATCTACAAAGTATAGATGCAGATATAAGGATATTTGTGGAAATGAGTCAAGATTGAGAGAAATACACTATAATACCAAAACAAGAAATTTTAGAGTGAAAAGGAAGAAGACGATGGAGCATAGCCTATGCATGAAATCAATCAAACCATGCTTTTTTCCTAGGAAAAAAATTCGAATTTCATAAAATATTCTCAATTACTTAATGAATTAATTTATCTATAAATTTAGATACATGTTCATCTACTTTCATAGAGTCATATATCAAACTATAAGTGCTACATTTATTAATATATATCTACGTTATTAGGTTAGTGGTTTAAATTTTCTAATTTGCGTCCATAAGTTTTTGTTATAGATTCAAATGTAGGTGTCTAAATACATTTTCTATTAGACATGCAGAGATGAAGTTCGGTGGTGGGCCACGTAAGGATCATTTATTAGTTCAACTGGTTGGCATTTATGAATTGTCAGAATGTTATTTCACTTACTCGTAAAGCCGTGGTTGTAGCGCCCACGCGCATATATTTCACGAGCTCTGGTTTTTCTGTAATAAGTATGTAAATCAGACCCATTTTCACCAATTATTATTCTTCTGTTAAGGACAACTCAACCATAATGTCGAATTCCTAATTTACGTTCCCATTTTTCCTTCTGCACAAATTCACCCTTAATTTTATCATATTATTAATTAACGTGGTTATAATTACCACAAATCTTTTGTTTTTTTTTTTCCAAAAAAAAAAGACTTTATTTGGATTTAGTATAAGTTTTGAGAAATGAGTGTAAACATATGTTGTGACTTGTAAGTAGGAATTTGTTTTTTTTTTTTTTGTATTCCTTTTTTTTAAAGAAAAATACAAAAAAAATGGAAAACTATAAGTTTAAAATCAATTTTTAGAGGTACGTAAAGTATTATTGTTAATGACGAAGGTTATTAGATTGTGGGAATATTTGTACATGCAGAAGAATCTAACAAAGAGATGTGATTGGGTAAAGTACTTGCAGAGAAACAAGACTTTCAAAATATTATGTGTAATGTATTATATATAGAACTTAAAAGCATCATGAAATGGTGTATATAAACTGAACGTACGATGTAGGACAGTGAAGAGAAGCTGTTTGTAGAATCTTAATGAAAGAATATATGGAGAAGTGTTAGAGTTTCAAAGCTACCTCATGTTATCTTGTCCCCTAAAGAGTTCTGCCTTTTGTTCGTATCTTTCTGAATATTTTTGAACCTTCATTTTTTTTGTGTCTTCCTTGAAGAAAATTTTAACCAAAGTTATTTACTGTATTTGTCTATATATGTTTGACCACCTTTTTTCCTTCGTATGAATCGATCATAGTCTATATGTAATAAGTATATAACATTTTTTCAAATTTATTTAGGATTATTAGACTTCTAGGTTTTTTTGGAGCACATGGAAAAAGCAAGCACAGATTCACAACAAAGTAGGTATGACGAAACTGGAGAATCTTTTCGTCAAATGTGAAAACCTATTTCTGTTAATGTAAATAAATCTATGAATGTGGAGGACGGATTAGTTAATGCTTGAAAAGGAGGTAATATAATGGCGCGAGAAGGTGTGACACAAAAAAACAGTACCATAACCACAAGGCATGATTTTTTAAGATTAAAAACTTTGCAGTTTCATAAATTTTGCAAATTTATAAAAGATAAATCTTTATTATAACTAATTACTACTACTAAATTGTACTATCTCTAACATTAGTTGATTGGAAAAAAAAAGAAAGAAAGAGTAAACAACAATGAAGAGGCAGGGTAAAGGCGTGAAAAAAGAGAACTGAGAAAAGGAAAGAATTGATGGGGCCGGGCCATTCTTCGATGAGACAAAAAGCATTTCTTTTTTTCTCTAATCTTTACTAATATGGATTGTGTGGATGAATTAATTTCTTAATATACAAAGACAAAGTAGACACATTGTGGTGATGTATGGGTGAATTTCTTAACTTATGTTTGATTAATTAATTTATTTATCCCGATACCACAGTGCTTTACTTTTCCTATGCTGACATCGGATGATTTTGAAGTATTATCCTTTTTATTTATTTTGCATTTGAATACCTTTTGAATACCACGTATATATATATACTGTTATGTTTAGCAAAAAAAAAAAACTATAATTCATAAATTTTCATGAATGATTATTTAAGGGGTTGGACATTTGAAAACTTTTCCAAAATCTGACGTGAATGTCACATTTTGCAATTTGAGAGAAAAAGAGTATAACATAATGAACTTGAAGAAATAAAAAAGAGTAAAGCGAAAATATAAATCGAGAAAGTACGTCTAGGAAGCGTGATGGTGTAGAGGGAGTTGGTGTCTCCTCGATACTCAACCTCTCGACCAAAAAGAAAACATAAATATAGCTTTTCACAAAAACTGAATAATTAAAGTTCCATTTAAAAATAAACTATTGTAACAAAGTACAATTTGAATTTGTATATTCTTCTGGAAATTATAGATTTATAGCAAAGCAATCATTAACAACACACACACTAAGCTGTTGACAAAAAAGAAAGAGAAAAAAACGCACGTTATATTACTATGTTAAGCTCGAGTAGTATCTATCTACAACATATTAAAAATTGTCTCATGAGAAAAATCAGATAACTTATATATTTTATGTTCTACATATATTTGTATAAATAATACTAATGACATTATAAATAATTTGACCTTTACTTATGAATTATGATAAAGGTTAGCTCTTAATTAGATTGTCCAAACAAATCCAAAAAACAGTGGAAGAAAATAAGGGTTTTAAGGGATAAGTCTTCGGCTGAAGGCCCAGAAAGGTGAAAGACGAAATGATCTCCACTAACAAGTATTGTGTTGGGCCAGGCTAAGCACTGTTTCACATTCAGAAACTAAGACCCAATAACAGTTGTCTAAAACAAAAACAAAAAACAGACCCAACAATAGTTCCTCTTGGAAAATTTCCTCGTATAGTTCAGTTTGGAATTAAGTGCGTATGCATCATGCAATCACCTACTTATCCAAAAAAAGATGTAGCTTTTATAATTTAGACTCTTTACGAATCTACAGACATATAAAGAAGTGGAGGAGATGAAGGAATCAAGGAATAAGAATTCTTTGCTTTTCCTACTTTTCTCCCATTACCTTCATTACTTTGGATTTGTTCGCTACCAATAATATATCCCAACAACAATGTTAAGTTTCCAACTTTTCCATACCAATTTTAGTTTTTCATCTATTAAATCATTATTCATGGTTTTTGTCAAAAGGTTTTATCTTTTATAAAATAACAACATAAGGGTTTAATCAGCATTATGTTACAATCTCCCAACAAAATTTATCCACAAACTAGCAAAAGAAAATCAAATGTTTACTAATCACATGATTGATATGATTTTTATACTTTTTTGAAAGAAAAATTGAAAACTCAATGCTTTGATAGAAGATTTGCAAAAGTACAAATTGACATTTCCTATTGCGCAACAAATTGAACATATACAGAAATTAGTTATAATATTCTAGCACTCATCGAGATGCTATGGAAATGTTGGAAAGTTACGATCATTTTACATATAGTTTTTTATTTCATGCGTTAAGAATCAATCATGCATATTGATTAACACATGATTATTAGACTGAGATATGTAGTTTTTCCTGTCGTCAAGGAATATTTGTTTAGTTTATAGAAGAAAAAGTGAAAGAATCTTTTGCAAGAATCTTTTAAAACAGTATTCCGTTATACTATACAATATTACAAATTGTATAACACAATAATTGACTGAAAACAGAAAAGAAAATAAAAAAGAAAAAGGGAAAAAGGAATATGAAGATCCAATCATATAGTATAATAAGTATTATTCGTCTGATTATGCTTCTGTAGTGGTATACGAGGCAAAGAGTGAGTTTTCTTCACGATCAAGAATATTCAGTGTCGCTATTGATATACATTTGAGGAAAAAATGCCAACATCACTTTTTTAAATTGACAATGTATTGTGTTATCATCATAATGAACTTGATAACTAATACTACTAATATAGACTATATTTAAAAGTTTGTGTAATCAAGTTAAATTAAATTGGCAGGGAAAAACATTCAATGATTGATCGATGTCATAGTTGGAGAAGCAAGAGGAATATTATATCCAACATGCATGTGCTTCTAGCCTTCTTCTTCTCGTATTTTCTCGGATCTTTTATTCTTCATACCAAATTATGTTTTATTTTAATTAATTCAATGATTACTACGTTTTTTTTTTTTTTTTTGGGTAAAAGGTGAAATTTTATACCATTTTGAGATTTTTGACAGAAGTTACAGAGAAAACAAGAACGGATAAAAGCACGCTACAGAAAATAAAAAACAACATTACTACTCAAAAAGCTTGGGATCGCTGTTGAGAAATTATGGCCAAGTCGCGAGAAAAAATACCGATTCCGAGTCCGCGAAACTCGGAAATTTGCGTGATTGCCACAATACCGAAGTATTGGAATCCTCATCGTTGTTGCCACGAGCCGAACTACCCGAGGCCCGTCCTTAAAACCTCGAGATAGTAGCCTACAGCTTCTCCGAGAACTAACGCAAATACAGTAATCATCCGAGAACCTCGAGATGATTACTACGTTTGTTTAATTAAATACATTATTCATTAGTTGATATTTCAAAATTTCCAACCAAAGTTAGTTTGCGTAAGTTCTCCAGCTAGCACCGTTTTTATCTTTAAAACATAGATATACGAGGACAAATGTTTGAACATACAAACTCTCTTACGAAAAAGAAAAAAAATCAACTATTTTAAACTAATCAATCTTCTACACGCAATACATAGACACTACATTTATGGGACAAAGTTATAAGCATATCTGTATATGGTTTGATAATGGAAGAAATCATTGTGACCCTATATTATTATTACTAGTAAAGTAGTAATACAAAAACTACGGATCTACTTTACTTTAATTTTTATTTTAGTGATGATCAACTCAATCTAATAAAGATAAATCTAAATTTGTATGAGTAATTATTACACAAAATCAGCCCCTATACAAACAAAAAGATGCCAATCTATATAATATAATTAATATTATCCTATGCATAATTTTGATAAACATAATATGATAAAATGAGATGGATCCTTTAACAATTTAGTAAGAGAAGAAGCGGGCAAAACACAAATATATCAAAGATCATAAAAGTTAGTCAAAGTTTGGAACCCAACAAACAAGCAAAGTTCCAATACTTGTGTTTTACACAAGCACACCTAGCCATGTTCATCACATCACATAACATAAGCAATAACAAATTCCACACCAACTTCATATTTTACTAATATTTGCTCATTAGTTCATCATGTTCATGATATGGGTGAAAGGATTTAAGATTACAATAATCAAAAGAATAATAATAAAATTTGGGAATGAAAGAAACTTTGGGTTATGTGTAGAATGAAGACAGGCTGGTTTGGTTAAGGTATGTTCCAAAACTTAGCAAAACCCTACCTCCATTATTATTCATCAATGAATGGAAAAAGAAAATTGAGGAATATGGACTTTTTCTTAGCTACTAAACTTACACATTGATCCCATTTTAACAAAAGAAATATATTTTGAATAAAGAAAAACAAAAAGGAAACTTCTTTCTTTTGATTCGCTTTCTTTGATGCTCTTTTTTTCTTGGTGCTCTTCTTCTGCTAAGCATCTTTTCCTTTTTTACCCTTCTCTCTCACGACCTTTATTCTTAGCGCCTTTGCTTTTACTTTCATTTTCATTGGAACTGAAAATTTTGCCTCTTTCCTTCTCTTTCTTCTTCTTCTTCTTCTTCCTATATCTATATATCTTCTCTTTCACTCTTACTGATTTAGGTTTTGGTTTATCTTCTTTGATCTCGCATTCCCATGTGTTAGAAAGTCGAATTGCTTTACCTTTTTTCTTGTTTTTTCTTCTGGGTTTTGTGTCTCCTCTCTTTTCCCGGGAGAAATTCTGTTTCTTTCCCGGGAAGTTTTTCCCTTTCTCGTTTTTTTTTTAATTTCTGGGAATTGAATCTAAATTCGACATTGTGTTGTTGTGTGAAAACATAAAGTTTCTCTCTTTACTCTTAATTTGATCTCCATTGATGGGGCTGTGTCATGGGAAACCTATCGAACAGCAATCGAAGAATCTCCAAATCTCCAATGAAATCGAAGAGTCACCTAAGAATTCATCTCAGAAAGCGAAATCTTCAGGCTTTCCGTTTTATAGTCCAAGTCCATTACCTAGTCTCTTCAAAACCTCACCAGCTGTGTCATCCTCGAGCGTGAGCTCCACGCCACTTCGTATCTTCAAGCGACCTTTCCCACCTCCCTCACCAGCTAAGCATATACGAGCTCTCCTCGCGCGTCGTCACGGTTTTGTTAAGCCCAATGAAGCTTCGATCCCTGAAGGTAGTGAGTGTGAGGTTGGCCTTGACAAGAAATTTGGGTTCTCTAAGCAATTTGCTTCACACTACGAGATTGATGGTGAGGTGGGTCGAGGGCATTTTGGGTATACTTGCTCTGCTAAGGGGAAAAAAGGTAGCTTGAAAGGTCAAGATGTGGCTGTCAAAGTTATTCCCAAATCCAAGGTTCGTAATGATTATCAATCTCTCTGTGATCTGTTGATTCCTTTGAAGCTATTATGATATGATCATCCCTTAGGTTCCACTTGTCATTTGCCATGTGTAGTTCATAGGCTTAGGCTTACGCTTAGCTGGAATGTGACTTGTGCATTTTGTTTAGGATCTTTGTTTAATACATTTTTACCCAAGGTGTTGTCAGAAACAATTTGTTTGGTTGGTGTTCGCATTATGCCAAGTTAAGCTGTGTGGTATCAGCTATATTAGTGAGATCTGTGAGCTACTGAGAAGGTTTATCAACCACCATTGGATAGTAGATTGCTAGATGATTAACTTGCCCGCGTTTATAGAAGTCTAATGCTGTCAATTGTTATCTGTTGGTTGGATTTTGAATTTGCGAGACTGATATTATCGTGTACGTTGTCAGATCAAGTTTCTTGAGTGATGTTGATAAACCAATTGTCTGCCTGAGCTTCTTTCTTGATTTAACCGTTTGGATTTTCTAATATTGTGGATGCTATTTTCGGTAGATGACTACGGCAATTGCAATTGAGGATGTTAGAAGAGAAGTGAAGATATTGCGGGCTTTGACTGGTCACAAGAACCTAGTCCAGTTCTATGACGCCTTCGAAGATGATGAAAATGTTTACATTGTGATGGAGTAAGTAAAAGTTGCTTCATAGATTTTTCATTCCTATGCTTTCTCAGATTCATCTTTCGATTGAATGATTGAGATCAAAGTAGTTAATTTAGTTCCTTTCTCTCTTGTGATTAGGTTATGCCAAGGCGGTGAACTTTTGGACAAGATACTTCAAAGGTAACTGCTACATCATACATGATTCTGTCTTATTTTCTCTGTATCGTGCTTTGACTGGTTGAGTTTTCTTTGTTTGGAATTATCAGGGGAGGCAAATACTCAGAAGTAGATGCTAAAAAAGTAATGGTTCAGATTCTTAGTGTAGTAGCCTACTGTCATCTTCAAGGCGTGGTTCATCGTGACCTCAAACCCGAGGTGAATAGATTCGTAACCGTTTTGTTTTGGTTTCTAGATTGTTCTCTCATCCTTAACGAATCTTTCTCTGTTTTTTTTTTTTCATTTACAGAATTTTCTCTTCACTACAAAGGATGAGTCTTCTCCTCTGAAAGCCATTGATTTTGGTCTCTCTGACTATGTCAGGCCAGGTAAGAGGTTTTAAGTACTCTCCTTTTTGAAGCTTATCGCAATGGTAGATGGAAAACTTGACTGTTTTACCCTTTCTGCAGATGAGAGGTTGAATGACATTGTAGGAAGTGCTTATTACGTGGCCCCTGAAGTTTTACACCGTACATATGGAACTGAGGCAGATATGTGGAGTATTGGAGTGATTGCTTATATACTTCTCTGTGGTAGCCGGCCATTTTGGGCCCGTTCTGAATCTGGAATCTTCCGAGCTGTTCTTAAAGCAGAACCCAATTTCGAAGAAGCTCCCTGGCCATCTATTTCACCTGACGCTGTAGATTTTGTGAAACGTTTGTTAAATAAAGATTACCGTAAGAGACTAACTGCTGCACAGGCTTTGTGTAAGTCTTTATAACCAACTTGATGCTACTATTTCAGTAATATTTATCATATTGATATTGCTCTGCTTTCAAACATATATGTGAACAATTTGTCTTATGTTTCAGGCCATCCTTGGCTTGTTGGCTCGCATGAATTAAAGATACCATCTGATATGATCATTTACAAGCTTGTAAAAGTATACATAATGTCGTCGGCTTTGAGAAAATCGGCTTTAGCGGTGAGTTGGATTCTTCAGTAGTTACCATTGATAGTCAGGTCTAGTGGATGAAAAGTCAATAACTGTTATTTTCATGGTTACAGGCTCTTGCCAAAACTTTAACAGTACCGCAGCTGACTTATTTGCAAGAGCAGTTTAATCTGTTAGGACCGAGCAAAAACGGATATATCTCTATGCAGAATTACAAAACAGTGAGTTTCAATTTCATTCGCACGTCTCTTCTTCATACTAGTATATTTTTGTGGTTTCTTATGGTGTGATTAAAAATTGCAGGCTATCTTGAAGAGCTCCACAGAAGCTACAAAGGATTCACGAGTCTTGGATTTTGTACACATGGTAAGGCAATGAGGACTAAGTTATATATTCACTATGTTTGGTGGGTATAAATGGTAATAAAATGATATTTTGGATTGCAGATTAGTTGTCTTCAGTACAAGAAACTAGACTTTGAAGAGTTTTGCGCTTCAGCTTTAAGTGTATATCAGCTAGAAGCAATGGAAACTTGGGAGCAACATGCACGCCGTGCATATGAGTTGTTTGAGAAGGATGGGAACAGAGTCATCATGATCGAAGAACTTGCCACGGTATAAAACTTCCCTTCGAGATGTGCTATCATCGATGTCTTTGGTTGGTGCTTGATGCGTTTGAGCAAATGTGTTGTTTTGTTGTTGACAGGAACTCGGACTCGGTCCATCGGTGCCTGTTCAGGTTGTTCTTCAAGATTGGATAAGACATTCTGATGGGAAGCTAAGTTTCTTGGGGTTTGTCAGACTCTTACACGGCGTGTCCTCTAGAACATTGCAGAAAGCGTAGAGAATTAGATTAAAGATTTGAAAAAGAAACAAAAGAGAGGAAATTTGTAAACATAATTGTTTTGAAAAAGATTTGAACCCTTAATTAATCTCTCACAAACTAGAAATCTTTTTTTATTGAACAAAATAAAGTTTACCAGATGAACCGAATTGTTCCGATTTCAGTTCGGTTCGGTTTAATTAAACCGGTTTTGCTCAGGCGTTGTGCGGCCAACTTTACGTGTCGAGCTCGAGAGAGCCTTTTGATGGCAGCCAAAGCCGAGAAGCATTATCGGAGCTATCATCTCTGGATCAGCTCAACGAATGTTGGGATCCGCCACAACACTTCTGACAGCTGCCGGAGACGAACCTCACGTGACCGTTCTTCAGATCGGGTCTTCTGTGTTTAACCGTCGACGAGTACTCTTCTTCTTCTTCTTCTTCCTCGTTCGCATTGTTCAGTCTTGAAACACCTTAATGGCGACAATGAGCAAAGCTCAAAGGACCAAACCCACTCCTGGATCTCAGCGTCTTGTTCTGTTATGTATAGTTGTGTTCGCATTCCTCCTCCTGCTCTCTTCGGTGATCTCCACCGGAAAACTAGGATTGCCGTATCAACAAACCCTAATCGATTATTTCGTGTGGTCTCCTCGTGGTAAGAGACATCATTCGTTGTCGGAGAAGTACTTGTATTGGGGAAACAGAATCGATTGTCCTGGCAAAAACTGCGAGACCTGTGCTGGCTTGGGTCACCAAGAATCTAGCCTCAGGTGTGCCCTTGAAGAAGCCATGTTTCTTAACAGGTAACCGAGATTCATCTCTGAGCTTTGTACAAGACAAAATGCAAAATTTAGCTTTGAAATTGTCAAATTCTGGGTTCTACTGTGCTTAAGAATTCAATGAGATTAAAGTTGAGTTCTTTAGGCTTTCAAGGAAAAAGGCTGAAGCTTTATGGGGTTGATATTAGTGCAGGACATGATCAATTCCATAACAATGTTCTTGTTGCAGGACCTTTGTAATGCCTTCTGGAATGTGCATCAATCCAATACATAATAAGAAAGGTATACTCAATCGATCTGATAACAAAACTACAGAGGAAGGGTGAGTTCTGTAATCTGCTTGACTTGTTTGTTTTCTAAAGATATGCATTTACTATTGCAACCTTGGGGCAATGTTTAGTGTCAATCTCTTAACACAAGTGTCGCTTTTGGATTTCTTAGTTGGGTCGGGAGCTCTTGTGCAATGGACTCCTTGTATGACATTGACCTCATATCTGAGAAGATACCAGTGATATTAGATGACTCCAAAACATGGCATATTGTTCTATCTACAAGTATGAAGTTGGGAGAAAGAGGGATTGCACATGTTAGTGGAGTTAGTCGACACAGGCTAAAAGAGAGTCACTACTCAAATCTCTTGATCATTAACCGAACCGCAAGTCCACTTGCTTGGTAATCACTTCCTTTATTATTTTCGTCGGGATTTTTGTAGGGAATTGAACCTTGGAGATCAGATCATGATCTAGCTGGTGAAATTGGGTGTAACTTAACTTGGGAAGTCTGCTTCATAATCATCAATTTTCTTATTCTCTTGTTTATAATCCCCTTTAACTCCTTTGAGATTATTGGCAATTTGGGTGTAGGTTCGTTGAGTGCAAAGATAGAAGCAATCGTAGTGCTGTCATGCTTCCTTATTCATTTCTCCCTAATATGGCAGCTGCGAAATTGAGAAACGCCGCCGAAAAGGTGTCATGGAAAATCCTTCCTTCAACCAACATATATATATATATATATATATATATATATATATATATATGTATCCTGCAAGATATTGATATTCATATAATGGTGGCTTTTTGTGAAAAATCTCTTGCAAAATAAGCTTAGTGACCAATTAATGTTTACTCTGCATCTTGAGTGAAGCCTTTAAGCTTGAATACGTTTTGGTATATTTATAGATAAAAGCACAACTTGGTGATTATGATGCCATCCACGTTCGTCGAGGGGACAAACTGAAAACCAGAAAAGACAGATTTGGAGTTGAAAGGATTCAATTTCCTCATCTAGACAGAGATACGCGCCCTGAGTTTATCCTTCGCAGGATAGAGAAGCGGATCCCACGAGGAAGGACTCTTTTTATTGGTTCTAATGAAAGGAAGCCTGGTTTTTTCTCTCCTCTCGCCATCAGGTAAATTAGTCTTGATCAGATCCTCGAAAAGTCTAGTGGACTCAGTTTTTAGATGTTTCGGTTACATATTTAGGTGTGCTACCTTATACATTTACATAGACTAGTTGTGAAATGTTTTTGGATTTGCTTATACTGCAGGTACAAACTGGCTTACTCATCGAATTTTAGCGAGATTCTGGATCCTATAATCGAGAATAATTACCAGTTATTCATGATGGAGAGACTGGTAATGATGGGAGCCAAAACATACTTCAAAACATTTAAAGAGTACGAAACAGATCTCACCTTAACTGATGATCCTAAAAAGAACAAGAACTGGGAAATACCAGTGTACACCATGGATGAAAGAAAAGAAGAAGCAAGCTAAAGTTTGTGCCTTTACAAGGTCTCATTGCAAATCTACTCAAACTGGTTCCAAACTTAGTCTTGTAACTTCCCACGTTCTTCTAGTCAAATGCTAAATCAGTGTATGTAAAAACTAGAGCAGAGTTATAGAGGTTTTTCATTGGCTTCCAAACGGTTCTTGTGTAAATGGGTTTTGTAAGAACAGATGTAGTAAGATCTGTGTTTTTTGAAGTTTCAAATATGTAAGCTTATGAGTGTTTCTCTTAACTCCAAATCTGTACTACATAACCTACACAATTTTTCCTAACTACGAACATAAAGAGAAAAGATTGGTCAGATCTTTGGCCGGATCATACATGGTGAGATCATGTTGGCTCCAAAAGTTTGTCCAATGGCAGCAGAAGAAAGCATCAGCTGGAATTAACAATGTTCTGCCTCTTCCCATTCAGAGTAAAACCCTTTTTCAATTAGTGGGATTGTGCTTCGAGAAGGATGTTTGTGGCGGCGTTGACATCATTTCTGGCGTGGACAAGTGCCTGTCTCGCTGCGTTTCTGTCGAATCCCATTGATACCAATGTAGTTATGGCTTCCTCAGATGGCTCCACACTTGACGGCACTGGAGCTGGCTGAGATCTCTGTAAATGAAGAAGCGTTTTAGATGACACTAAAAGTTTGGCTAAAAGGCAAAACGGATGTTACTGAGAAAATAAAAGGATGACTCACCTCTGCTCGACGCCCTGTGTTAGGTGATATAGTCCCAACGATGTTTCTGCTTGGTGCTGGAGGAGGAGAGTTACCGAAAGAGGGAAAAGAAAGCCGCGAAAAGAATGAAGCCACAAACTCGGGGAACTGTGATGTGTTCAGACATAAATTTAGTGTTACTCTAGCGACATAGAAAACTAAGAAGCCAACAACTTGACAGAGAGATCTATAGTGATGTGTTTGTTTCTACAAAAAGGTTAGAATTTAGAAAGGTATAACCTTTGCCTTGCGGATGCCAAGGATGTTCAAACGATACAAGGGACCGGCAATTATGCCGCAAATTCCAGGAAAGATGGATCTTTTCCAAGAAGATAGTAGAAGCTGCAGAAAAAGAAAACCAAGAAGATTATCAATACTAAGGACACTACTCGAACAACAATGATCATACAATTAAACCTATGGTTTTGATTACCTGAACTCCTGCGAGATATATTAATGACTTATCAGAGAAGTTGACACCAAATACGCGAAACCTCGTTGAAACAGGAATGTCCAAGTAGAAGGGTATAAACGAAGCAAATATCAGGCCGTATGGTCCAGAGGTTAGTAAGTTTGCTGTGGTATCTGAGAAAGAAACAACAGATAGTTGCAATAAATATATACAATAAAAACCAATGAACTGAAACACATAATCAAATTCATGGACCAGGACAATATCTTGTAAGAGATTTTCATGAATATTAGAGCAAAAAGAAAAATAGGATTGATATTGAAACCAATTAAGATCATCGCAGTAATGTAATCATAACTCATTAGCTCCCACATCATAATTCAGAGCACCACAATCCTTCCTTTTGCATTTTCTCCATAGTTTTTGTAGGAATGGTAATGAAGCCAATTTAAGTGAACCAACAACCACAGTCCTTATAGTAACCTTATTGGTGCTACTATTGCAAATCTTACTAATAAGCCCAAGCAAAGGCTTTAAAGAGGTTGTCTTGAAATAGAATGATGGGTACCTTTAAGCAGTGATAACAAAATGACCTCGAGTAATAGAGATACAGTCCCTGAGAACAAGATAAAAACCTGCAGCAGGAACACTCTCTGATTTAATTTTTGTAAGAGAAAGAAAATAGTGAAATTTAACTATAGAAAACGGAAAAAAAAGAATTATCACCAGAAAACCTTTTTCGTAACCAGTTTTCCAAGTGAACAAGAAACATAAAGCACATGAGAATATATATATACCAAGCAAAGAGAGTCGAGCTACAAGCATCACTTACCGAGTACTTATTTGAGCCAATCTGTCTCTCAAAAACTCGGAAGTAGTATAACAAATACAATCCGAACATCAATTCTGGTGTGGAGGAGAAGACAAAAGTCGACATGATTAACTTCCATATCCGAAACTTCTCAAAAATATCCTGCAGCGCGTTTGGAAGAAGATTATAAAGACAAATTGTATTTTGAGATATTAGATTTACATAACAACAACTACAAATAACTTAGAATCATAAACCGGGATGCTGGAATCAAACATCATTCAGGTGTCAGGTCACTGGCAAACAGAAACAGATAATTAGATGCAAGCTATCGAACTAATTAACACTTGACAGTGAGTCAAAACCCTCTTAGCAAATCATCTATTATTCAGCACCACACGGCGATTAAAATCGAAGTAGAAGCTGATAAATGATGATTATGGCATGTTTCCAAGAATGAAACGTCGTTTGTTTCAACAAAGCAGCAAACCAAGATTGTGCAGATGAATGCTTACAAGCTACACTGACTAAACACCACACTAATGACCAAAATAAGAACCATTCTTAGTACCAATGTCTAGTGCCGAAGAGCCTATTGTTCTAATATATCAAAATCGAACAAATCGGACAGAGAATCAGATCCTAGGTTCACACAGCAAATCCTAAAGTAAATCCCCAAAATTCTTAAAACGAGTAAGAAGAACTCACAACACAAGACACCAAATGCGAATACCTGGTAAGACAAACCAAGCTTAGAAGAACGACCTTGGATCCCGAAGAAGACAGTGAAAAGGGCGCTCGTGATAACGAAGGCTTTGGTTACCGGAGCATTATCTGAAACGTCAACAATTCATCACTCACAAATCGACATTTAAAATAAGGACTGGGAAATTTCAGAGAAGAAGCTGATCAAGCGTTAGAAGGACGATGATACGTACGGAAACCGGAGGGACCGCCGTTCATCTTCGTCGGGTGAACAGAGGACGGCGACGAAGCAACAACCGGTGAGCAAGTTTCGTGACGAATCAATCTGGATTTGGAGATCGATGCAACAATAACCAACCTTTTGATCTTCTTCTTTGTGACAAGGATGTTTCCACGAATTCAATTTACTTCGAAATCAAACATCAATTAGAAGATACCATAATCATTCACTCTTTTTTTTTTTTTTTTTTTTGTGCAACAGAAATATCATTATTATTGCAATTTCACTTTTTAGTTGGCAAAATAAACAACTCAAATTGACCAATAAATTAATTGCGTTTCGTAGTAATGCGAAAAATAATTAATCTGTGTTGTTTATTTACGTTGGAGATGGGCCTATTTTTTCCTAAAGACATAAATCTATGTTGATATTCACAAACGCAATTAGTTTCTGGGCCTAGATTCTTCAAACAAGCCCATAAATTATATAAAGAAATATCCGAATTCACGGCTCTACCTCTGTGTTGATACTCATTTAATGGTGGCTTTTTTTTTTGTGAAAAATCTAGGCCCATGAATTCACAAAATGTTGAATATTTCAAGTGTTTTCAATTTGTTTTCACGAGTTTAAAAGAAATTTGATGTAAATTATCTTTCTTTTGTTTCAAATTAGTTGTTTCGCACATATTAAAAAACATTTATTTTTATGTTTTATCTTAATTAATGTATTAGTTTATTTGATATCATCAATTAATAAGCTAAAAACATGAATAAAATTAAAACTTTTGTCAAAAACATAAATGATAAATAATTTGAAACAAAAATTTAACATTTAGTACAACAACTAATTTGAAACGGATGGGTAATTTTGTTCATAATTATTAAATTTGTCCATTATTATCTAAGACGATTTCATCTCAATATGATTTCAAAGCTGCACATGAACTGAATTTGTAATCATATTATTTAATAAATTAATAACGATAACCACGTAGTATTTCAATAGCCATTTACTAATTGTGAATTAGATACTACATAGGATTATCATGGTATATATGTGGGTGTGGTCATGAATTCTTTTGGTGACTTACATATTTTCATGTCTTATATTATCAGACTCTTATTTGAGGGAACACGTTGAAAAAGTGGCGAATTTTCTATACATGGCGGCACCGATATGTATCTTTTTGGGACTTCGTGCATTGTCACATGTGAACTCCATATGCATGCGGTTGGTGATAAAAGAGATTTCCATGAGAATGATGAACATAGATCCCTGGAAGCAGTGACTGTCTTGAGGCTGCTGGTCTTTATTCTGGAATCGCCAAGAGGTAACCGTGATATTTCTTTTAATATTTGGTTTAGGTTTGATGATTATTACATAACTAATTAATTCTCGTTTTCTTTCATAACTACGTAAACAAACAAAAGACACTGGACAGAAGCAAATCATCATTGAAATGATGGCATGGATGCAAAGGCATTCACATCAACACAAGAAACCTACAACGATGCTAGTAATTAGCGGAGACCATGACATCCGGTTTGCTATTAAAGCAATAAAACTGAAAGGCTTTTGGGTACTTCTACCTCGTCCGGAAAATGCACATCCTGATCTTCTAAGGGTTGTAGGTCAAGGTTACTCATTCAAGATGGTGGATTTTATTTAAGATTAGTTTATGTTTAAATGTAATAAATAATGAGATGTCTTTTCTTCTCTCGAACTATCTTCTTAGTTCTTACATCTCACTCTCCAACTTTGTTTTGATTAACGTTTAAATATTATGACTCAAACTCAAATGCCACTTTTTAGTTATATTGATTTATATGTTCTTAATTTACTTTTATACAAATATTTCGATTGATTCAAATAGTAGACAAAAAAACCCCCAACAAATTAGCCCACCAATTAATTGATTTCACCAGTTGAGGATTAAAATTAGTATCCAGTTAGCTCCATATGTATCTAATTTGATATTAGTCATACTTCTTCCTCTTTGTGGATTTTTTTTTTATTTTGTTGTGTAGTGTTGTGATTGATTTTTAAAGAGTCAAATTAAAAATGAGCAAAAAATTGCAATATATGGATAATATTTTTTTTGTTGAAAATATATGGATAGTATTAGTAGACAGTAAAAGATAATATTTGTCTAAATTTTAATAGAGACGTTAAATCCAAAAGCTATTGTTTTATCTTAATAGATATCTAAAATAGTATTGGATAGTTTCAATGTTTTCTATATACTTTTCCAAGTTTAAACTAAACTTGATGTATTTAGATCAGTGTTTTCACGCCAGATTCAACTAGTTAACACGTGAACTTGACACATTTTCGGTTTGGGTTTAGTGCTAATATCCGGCAATTTGAAAACCGGAAAGCTCATAAAAACCCTGAGAAATCATTGAGAGAAACGTTATGTGGAGTTGATTGTAATAAAGGTGTGAGGAGTGAAACACTCTACGAGTTTCTATGCTTTTTCGGGTTAAATCCAATTTCTTCGTATATTGAAACACTCTAGAGTTTTTACATATACTGTAAAGATTTTTCAATGGACACATTATACTTTTTGAAACGAGGGCAAATGAAGAATTAATGTCAAGATGCTTTCACAGTTTAACATGAATAGCTCTAATGGTATCGCTTAATAAGTTTAACACTTCTGAGTCCACGAATTCTATTTTCATTGGCGACCAAAGATGTAAAAAAACCCGACAACAATTCGATATCTCACTCTTTAGGTCGGAATCAAAACCAAACTCGGGTGGTCTCAAAACATGGTTACTGCACTTAATTCTTACACACATTGAGGTAACTGTGATCAAGGGATTTGGCAAGAGTAGTAGAGTACAAAAAGAAGATGCTACAAGATTGCTTAGAAGGAGACGAGAGTATGATAATAATTTACCAAAAAGGTTCAAAGACCTAACCCTACTGTTCGCCCATCTCTCCTCCTTAACCCTGCTGTGTACTGCTTCTCTAGGTCCATCTGCAACTCTTTCTGCTTCTCCACCTCGACTTCGCTCAGGTTCTGCTCTTGGTTTACTATATTCGCTTTCACACCCTACAATGATGCACCAACGCAACCTCAGACTCTGAAAATGTGTTAGTATTACTTTATATACAACAAATTCTATGCAATTTTTTAATATGAGACTTTGCAAAGTTCTGGATTCATTGCCCTATATTATTATGATCACTGAGGTAGGAAAACAATCAATGGAAGCAAAAGATGTACGTAGGGGAGGAAGGATGAGATTTACCATAAGTTTGTTGAATTTTTCTTGTCGTTCAGGGTCACCAATTAGCGCACTAGCATTATCCCAACGATGAGCAGACTGGTTCGGAGGAATATAAGCAAAAGTAGAATCACGAAAAAATTCTGAGTTTAAGGTTTATATCACAAAGTATGTAAGTATTACATATCCACAAATAGTTAAGATACCTCTTCTGAAGCCGTGCTTTTCTTTTTTCCCCACAATAACTTCTTCTTTTGATCTGTTGTCAGGTAACCCGTTCCAACAAGGTTTTTATTCACTGGATTCATCGAAGCAAAACAGCTAAGGTAAGAACTAGGTAAAAGCAGACATGAGTAGGTTTTTCTGTAAGCATTTTCAATAGAAACAATATTATCTAGATAAAGCATGACTTTCAATTAAGTATCTTCGGATGGCAAGATCATAAGTATACAAAAACATGGACAAGTCAATTCAGTAAGGAGGCCAAATAAATGAAGAATAACAGCCAAGAAGTCTATGAATAGCATCAAAACAGTATTACCTAATTCAGCAGCCTGCATAGCTGCAACTTTTGCAGCATCAACATCACCGGGTTCAGGCTTTAAGATTGATGTCTGTTTCTCTTCTGCTGTAGCACTATAACTTAGAGCAAGGAGCTACATAACACAAAAAGAAAACATTTGAAAACAAGAGAAGGAAAGTCTTACCATTAGTACTGCCAGTAGTAAACTTCTCTGATATGAACCCCTTCAATTTCTTAGAATGAGTATCTCGATTCTCAGTGGCCAAACATTTATCATCAGAACGGTCTCTTGGAGATTTGACATGAACATCCTTCTCCTTTCTAATCTCAGGGTCCTCATGTTCCTTTCTTTCATCACGGGAATGGAGGTCACCAAAACTCCAGCGAGAACCTCTTTTCTCATCTTGAAAATCTCTCCCCCGCACGTAATCCTTCTCTTTATCCTCTACTCTTGAGTCTGCGTGTCTCCTACCAGATGACAAACCTTCACCTTTCTCCTCACTATTGACTCTATGTCCAGAGTTGCTATACTTATCACGGGAATGTCTGTCTGAATCATTTCTTGACCTGCTATGTTCAGTCTCCACTCTTCTGCGGTCGGAATGTCGGCCACCTCTTGGATCATGGCTAGAACGATGTGCATCCCTCTCATGTCTGTTGTACTCATCACGCTTAGATCCGTAATTATCATCCCTAGAGTACCTATCACGTTTATGAGAATCAATACCACCTCTACCATAGCGACTGCGGTCAGATTCTCGCCTATCCTCTTTCCTCGCATGAAGTGGTTCAGAATCTTTCCTAATATCTCCCCTAGAATGCTTTGGATTAGGGCTCTGCTTACGTTCAGGACTTCCTACAAAACAAGAACCAACAGATCTATACTAAGCTATATGACTAGAACTTAAAGAGGACATGAAACGGATAGTCCACATTCTTAGTGACTCAAGAAATCGTATCCCTAGCTCGAAATCGCCACAAAGATGCACAATAAATGATAAATCAAAAACAACAACACCTTAAAACCCGTTACCTAAAATGCTATAACCAATCAAATACGCTAATCATACGAACTAACCATCAGATGAAGATGAGCCATCGTCAGCTAAAGCTCGACGACGATATTTTCTGCTAGGCCCGTCATTGGAAGGCTTTCGAAAAGCGGTTGTGGTATCACCTCCATCATCATGCGGTGGTGAATTCAGTTCGGTATCCATGGAGCTTGACACCTGCAACAAATGATTCGATTCCAAAAATCAACACAAATGTTTACTAATCGTGTCAAGATAGATACAACTATTAACGACTTCAATAACATGAATGAAACCAGAATTGAAAGGATGTTCGCTCACCGATCACTGGTGGAGTTTTCAGACACAACGAAAATTTTCCAGCAAAAATTACAAGACTAGGAGGAGATCGAATCGATAATCGAGAACATGTGTGTGTTGATCAAGGATTCCGACAAATTTGACAATCTTCAATTTATTACCAGTGTGGTTTATCTCTATCTCTATTCTCTAGTACAAAGATCCCTTAATTGGAAAAAAAAAAGTTAGGGTTCGAAGGAAGATATTTTTCTCGGTGCAATAATTCTTTACAAATCTGGGGAGGCGGTGAGACTTAATGGACCAAGCAGGCCCATTTAGCAGTATAATGGCCTGACTTCTCAAGACTAAAGTATATGACATGATTATGAGATTATGGTATAGGTATATATCCAATCATAGAATTGCAGTACTTTTGTTAATGATTAAAAATCGTAGTGAAAAAAATATTCAAACTACGGTCTTCAATTTTATAATCACTAAATCAATTTTAGGAAAACAATATTAAAGTGCAATTAATATTGTGAACTGATAATTATAGATATACAAACATGATTCTTAACATCAAAGTTGGACCCATAATTTTGACTCTTCCGTAGGTTTTTGATACTCGACATGCTTGCATTGGCCCAACATGATACTCTTTTTTTTGTTAAAACATGATAATGCTTTCAGCGATAAATTGTCACATCTTCAATTCATAACGCATTTGTCCATCTATCATTGGCGTCTCTCCAGACTCTTGCCAAAGAAATCTAAGAAATTATAAATTGTGATTTGAATTTTTTCTGGACCATGTTCTTCTGTAATAAAATTAAAACTTAACGACTTATACGAATTTCCTTATTATAAAATAACTTAAAATAACTCTTCAGACGTGTAGAATAAGCAGGCTCGGCAGAGAAGTTGTTCTAAACTAATATTGTCAAGCTTAGTTTTCATAAATGTATGATATTAACTAACAAACATGCGTAAAAACGCAACGAGTCACATATTTATATACTATGCGATTAACAAATTGCGATTAAGATAGCTTTAGATGCGAAGAACAAGCTAGTTTTCATTGATGGATCTGTTCCGCGACCTCTTGAATCAGATTCTATGTTCAGGATTTGGTCTCGTTGTAACAGCATGGTGAAATCTTGGTTATTAAACTCAATGTCAAAGCAAATTTACAAAAGCATTCTTCGTTTTAATGATGCCTCAGAGATATGGAATGATCTATTGACTTGTTATCACATTACTAATCTTCCGCGATCATATCAGTTGTCTCAACAGATTTGGTCACTTCAACAGGGTACTATGGATCTTGCAACATATTATACTACTCTGAGAACTTTATGGAATGAATTGGATGCTTCTGATTGTGTCAAGTTGTGCAAAAATTGTGAATGTTGTGAAGTTGTGGATAAAAGAGGAGATAATGCTCGTGTTATTAAGTTTTTGGCTGGCTTGAATGAATCTTATGCAATCATTAGAAGCCAAAACATAATGAAGAAGCATGTTCCTTCCCTAGCAGAGATTTACAATTTGTTGGATCAGGATCAGAGTCAGAGAAGTTTTACACCAATTCCTTCTAATGCAGTGACTTTTCATGTTTCTGCACCTGAATCAGTTCAAGCTTCAGTTAATGCTACATATGTTAAACCACAAAAGGTTATATGTTCTCACTGTGGTTATACAGGACACACAGTTGATAAATGCTACAAGATACATGGGTATCCGATGGGGTTCAAGCACAAGAACAAGAATCAAGCAGATAAAACTGTCAATGTCAACCACACAGCTCCTGTTAAACCTGTAGTGGCTCAATTGGCAATGACAGAGACTGCTACTAATGATTTACTTACTGGACTTACAAGAGTTCTTACTAAAGATCAGATCAATGGTGTTGTTGCCTACTTTAATTCTCAGCTTCAGACTGCATCCCCTGCTACTGCATCTTCTTCTGGTGCAATGATCACCGCATTACCTGGTATATCTTTCTCTTCTTCTACTATTGGTTTTGTTGGAGTTTTGAGAGCGATAGGTAATGTCTTGTCTTCTGAATCATGGATTATTGATAGTGGAGCAACACATCATGTATGTCATGATAAAGCTTTATTTCTGAGTTTATCTGAAACTTTGAATAATTCAGTGACATTACCAACTGGTTTTGGAGTTAAGATCACTGGTATTGGAACAGTTAAACTGAATGAGTTTCTAATACTGAATAATGTGCTTTATATTCCTGACTTTAGGCTGAATCTTCTGAGCATCAGTCAGTTGACTAAAGATCTTGGATATAGAGTAACATTTGATGAAGCTTCCTGCATTATACAGGATCCTATCAAGGGGCTGATGATTGGTAGAGGAGAGCAAATTTCCAATCTATATGTCTTGGATGTTCAGAGTGTTGTCAATCCTGCAGATCAAATCACTTTTTCTACAAACATTGTTGTTGACTCTAGTCTATGGCATAGCCGATTAGGTCATCCTTCTATGGAGAAATCTGATATTATTACAGATGTACTTGGTTTTAAACAAAGGAATAAAAGATCTTTTCATTGCACTATTTATCCTCTTGCAAAACAAAAGCATCTTCCGTTTAAATCTAAAAACAATGTTTGTGATTCTGCTTTTGACTTGGTACATATTGATGTCTGGGGTCCTTTTGCAGTGCCAACACATGATGGATATAGATAATTTTTAACCATTGTGGATGATCATACTAGGATCACTTGGTTGTATCTATTACGCAATAAAAGTGAAGTGCTAACAATCTTTCCAGATTTTCTGAAGATGGTTGAGACACAATATAAGACTGCAGTGAAAGGTGTGAGATCAGATAATGCACCAGAATTGAAGTTTGTGGAATTATACAAGGCTAAAGGTATCATTCACTACTTCTCTTGTCCAGAAACACCAGAGCAAAACTCTGTTGTGGAAAGGAAACACCAACACATTTTAAATGTTGCTAGATCTCTCATGTTTCAAGCTCATGTTCCTCTTGAATACTGGGGAGAGTGTGTTTTAACGGCGGTCTTCCTTATTAATCGACTATCAACACCTCTACTCAAAGATAAGTCACCTATTGAAGTTTTAACTTCAAAGGTCCCTGATTATGGTGGTTTTCGTGTTTTTGGATGCTTGTGTTATAGCTCAACATCTTCCAAAAACAGAACCAAGTTTCAACCAAGAGCCAAACCATGTATCTTTCTTGGTTATCCTCCAGGAGTTAAAGGATACAAGCTTTTGGATTTGGAGACAAATGCTATTCATGTTTCTAGGAATGTGGTATTCCATGAGGATATATTCCCTTTTAACAAAGGTACTACTTCTACTCTACCTGATTTCTTCAAAAGCATTGATGTGGCTGTAGAGGATACCACTGTTGGTCCCAATAATATTGTTCATGTAGTTGTGAGTGAATCTCCTACAGTGGTGAATGATATTCCCAACAGTGTTTCTCCTACAGTTACTGCTCCTCCCAAAGAAGTTACTCGGAGAGTAAGTAAAGCACCAGAGTATCTAAATGACTATTATTGCAATATGTCTTCTTCTGGTATTCAATATCCATTATCGGATTTTATGAGCTATGATGGTCTTTCAACACCTTACAGAGCCTACATTTGTTCTGTTACCAAGCATGCAGAACCTACTTCTTTTACTCAAGCTAAAAAGTCTGATGATTGGCTTAAAGCTATGAATGCCGAATTACAAGCTTTAGAGGGTACAGCGACATGGAAGATTTGTTCCTTACCCCAGAATAAGCATGCTATTGGTTGTCGATGGGTCTATAAGGTGAAACTGAATGCTGATGGTAGTTTAGAGCGTTATAAGGCTCGATTAGTGGCTAAAGGGTATACACAACAAGAGGGAGTTGACTTTGTTGATACTTTCTCCCCTGTAGCTAAGATGACGACTGTAAAGACTCTTTTGACTGTTGCAGCTGCTAAAAAGTGGAGTTAACATCAACTGGATATTTCAAATGCATTCTTGAATGGTGATTTAGAAGAAGAGATATACATGACATTACCACCAGGATATACGCCTAAAGAAGGAGAAGTTCTACCACCCAATGCAGTTTGCAAATTGCAAAAGTCTTTATATAGTTTAAAGCAGGCCTCTAGGCAGTGGTTTCTCAAATTTAGTGCCACATTAATGTCTCTTGGTTTTCAAAAATCACAGGCTGATCATACTCTCTTTGTGAGAAATGTGAATGGGAAGTATGTTGCAGTTCTTGTGTATGTAGACGATATCATTATCGCAAGTAATGATGATGCTGAAGTTGTTTAGTTAAAAGAAGATTTACAGAGAGCTTTTAAGCTCAGGGATTTAGGCTCATTGCAGTACTTCCTCGGCTTGGAGATTGCTCGTAATTCTTCAGGTATTTCTATTTGCCAACGTAAATATGCTTTAGGATTACTTGAAGAAACAAGTCTCCTTGCCTGCAAACCATCGAGTATACCGATGGAGCCTAGTCTTAAGTTGGTCTCAGATGGAGATGAACCACCTATGGCTGACCCTGCATCCTACAGAAGATTAGTGGGAAAAATGATGTATCTAACTATCACCAGGCCAGACATCACTTATGCAGTCAATAAGTTGTGTCAGTTTACTTCAGCTCCTAAAGAGTCACATATGAAAGCTGCTCACAAAGTCCTGCATTATGTCAAAGGTACAATTGGTGATGGTTTATTCTACTCTGCTGATTGTGATTTGGTGTTACAAGCTTTCACGGATGCAGATTGGGCTTCTTGTCTAGATTCTCGGAGATCAACATCAGGCTTCTGTATGTTTTTAGGCAAGTTCCTTATATCTTGGAAATCCAAGAAGCAACAGACTGCATCACATTCCTCTGCAGAATCTGAATACAGAGCCATGGAATTTGCAGTCAGAGAGGTTGCTTGGCTAGTGAATCTTCTTCGTGAATTTGGTGCACCTCAGGAGAAATCTGTTGCCTTCATCTGTGATTCAACTGCAGCTATTCACATAGCTAACAATGCAGTTTTTCACGAACGTACAAATATGTTGAGTTAGACTGCCATATTGTGAGAGACAAAGTGGTCAGTGGTTTGATAAAAACTCTCCATGTGAAGACTGATGAACAGCTTGCTGATGTGTTCACTAAACCTCTATTTCCAACTCATTTCCGTTCTCTTATAGGCAAGATGACACTAAAATCCATTTACTTGCCATCTTGAGGGAGGCTATTAGAGTATGGTTTGATATGGTTTAGTAAAATTGATTTCTGTTATTGTAAACCAGAGTAAACCGGTCGTTCTGTTTTACACTATAAGTAAAACATGTAATCGATGCAGAATCATTAATGAGAATAACTATTTGTTCTTCATCGTTGTAACAAACTTTCTTCTCTAACAATATAGTATATCATTTTGACTCTTCCGTAAGTTTTTTTTAATCTTTTTTAGCTTTTTTTTCTGGCTTCAAAGACGAAGATAAAAACTTTTTGTGATTTTACGTACTTTGAAATTATATTTTGATTTTTTTAATTGTGCTTCCATGTTTTCAGTATAAACATGATTCACAGTAAAATAAATATATATATTTTTTCTGATAAGACCAAGAAAAAATAAACCTGAAATTGTGTTTTTTTTTTTTGTGTGGCTATTGTTCCTATGATAAAGATATGTAATAAAATCCAGCCCATATCAACAGCTCTACATTTTCAATTCGTCACAGTCATCGCGTATATATGATTTGATAATATACTAACTAGAACGATGTTACTTTTTTAAAAATTCAGCTTTAATTTGTTATACATGTTTCTGCAAGTTTCTAATTATTTATCAACTTAAATGTCTTGATATAATCGAATTACACCTTAAGAAGTTAAACCTCTCTTTTTCCACAAGGAAGCAAAAGTCGTTTGAATCCGTTTACTTGGAAGTCAACGCACGTGCTTACTGATCACCCAAATTCTAACACGTATAACATTTGTTTATTTTATTGCAACTTTCATTTATCCTTAAATTTGTCTTATCTCTGTTTTTTTTCTCTCTTTTTCTTACAGAAAAATAAGAAAATACCAGTAAGGATTGGGATAATTCAACCAGCTATACAAAATGAATAATATTAACCTAGATTTCAGTTTGAGTCTCCTGCAACTAAAATGATGCATCTCAAACTTCACAAAGATTAAGATCCAATATACATCAGAATTTCTTAAGTGTTATATCAAAAAGTTGGTCTTTACGAAAATAAAATATGAAAAAGTTGGTCCAATGTATTTAGAAGCATCTGAAAATATCTATTCTATTAAAATGTATAATTTATAAAATAAGGATAATAATTTAACATTGTAAGTTGAATTATGTAATTAAGTAATGGCAAGAGAAATTATAGAAGAATTTTTTTTTTTTTGGTGATACTCTAAAAAAAAAAACTTTATTCGAAAAAAAAAAAAAAAAACTTTATTCGACAATGAGATAAAGTGGAAATTAATGAATTTGTCAGGAGAAGTGGAAAGAGGGTCTACGGATACACGTGACTTGACTTTTGAAGATCTTCTTCGATCAAAAGATGCTTTTAATCGTTTTATCATATCTTCTTGTAGCCGACTAATTAGCTTTTTTGATAACTCTTCTTTTTCTTTCTAAATCATGAATCAACCCTATTGACTTTATTAAAACATTAAATCATATATCGATGCTTTGTTTTCTCTTAATTACTATCATTTATAAATCCGCCGTAAATCATACGTTAAATAAGCATCAATCACTCATATTTGGAGATCAAAGGACCCTATATAATACGCAGTAGGGGTGGAGAGGTTGTGATAGTGAGACCACAATGCTGCTTTCTTCCCACTTGCTCACGTGGACCCCTCATCCCCCATTCGTCTCTTAACCCTTACCGTAATTAATATTCTCTTTATTTTCTTTTAAATTATTGTACCCGACACTAATGTACATTGATAATTAATTAATTATGGCCTCTACTGTTTTGTTTTCGCTATAAAATAAACGTCAAAAATAAAATTAAACTAATTTTTTTCTAATAATCAACATCTTTAGTGTTTTATAGTATATTATCAGTCAGTTTTTGTATATAGAAAACCATGATTCAAATATATTTGATGGTTTCTACTCAACGTAATGTACTAATGTAGTTTAATTATTGTCACGCGAAAGTAAATCAATTCACAAACAAGCACCTATAAACACATAAAAACACCGTACTACGGAATTTATAATTTGTAAAATGAAATTTATTGAAAGAAAAAAAGTATTGTGTCTCCTATTCTCGAATCTGTTTGAATATTAAAGACCAAACTAACATGTACTCCATAGAAAGGTAACACACAAACGTCTGTAATTTTGTTGATGTACTAAAATATCATTTGAAGTGAATGCATTTTAAAATCACTTACGAGTAGGCTTGGCCAAAAACACCAAAACCGAAAAACCGAACCAAAAAAAAAATTGAACCGAATCCGAAACCGATAAAATATCCAAACGAATTCTTGACTCCTATAACCGAAAAACCTAAACCAAATCCGAAACGAACCGAAAACTGAATGGATACACAAAATATAATTTATATCTAAAATATTAATTATATTTCCACTTTATATAACCCAATTACCAGAAATTCTAATTATAAATCCAAAGATATCAATTATTTCAAACCAAAACAAACAAAATACTCAAAATATCTAGACATTTTTAGTTAAATTTATCAAAAATTTAACCATTTTTAAAAACATTCCAATATTTCGGATACCCAGAACAGAACCGAAAATAACTAGAACCAAACCAAACTCGAACCAAAATTCTAAATTAATCGAATGGATCCTCTTCTATCTGACATACCTGAAATCAAGTGGATCTACTCGGAACAAAACGCCAAAGCCTACTTACGAGTTCAAATTTTGATGTTAAAAAATAAAATAAAAACTAATTATTCTTCCGGCTTGGAGAAATTATTGGCAAGATTATTAGGGCAAGTCCAACTGCATTTCTTAATAGAAGCTCTTACAAATTAAAAAAAAATAAAAATAATAAAAAGTTATAAAAGAGATGAGAGAGAAGCTTTTCAAAGTCTTATTTAAGAGTCAGTACCCCTGTTCTAAAAATCCCCGCCTAGCCCCGATTACTCCCCGCTTAATCGCTAGGCCCACCCTCTCCGCCTCGATTAATGACTAATCCCCTAAAAAATCAGTAACCCGATTATTCTCCGTCTAATCCGATTATTTCCCGCCTAATCCGATTATTTCCCGCCTAATCTTACGTACCCCGATTATTTTTTAGATTACAAGTATAAAAAAAACATTTTATTTTTGTTATTCAATCATTTGAATTGGGAGTTTGTGATGTTTTACATAACTTGTGTTCAAATTTTAATAAAAATCATAAAAATTTGTTTTTACTGTAATTTTGAAAACAATATTGAATTAATATATTTTAAAAATATTAAAATAACCCTAAAACTAATCCCCGATTAATCCCCGATTTTAATCCGATTTTCCGATTAATCGCTAGGCCCATGCCGAACGCCCGACTAGCGCCTAGCGATTTTTCAAACAAGGGTCAGTACTAAAACAAAGAGGACACATATAACTTTGTTTATGGTTTATCTGTATTAAATAATTAAAATATTATTATTTTTAATTTTTTGAGAAACTCTTACACTCCCAACTGTTGTAGATGTTCTTAGTTAAGAGATTCTGTGGAACAACATAACCAACAACTGATTACAAATTTTATAGAAAAAAACAACTGACCACAAACCAAACTCAATTTTATCTTAAACAAAAATATGCGGTGTTTTTCCATGAATAATTTTTTCTATTTTGTCAATGACCAGTCGAGTGACGTCATCTCGTAGGAGTTATGGTGATGTCATGTAACTTGTAAGACGTCGTAATTTGGATGAGAGTAGCATTCACGTGGAGGAGCTTCAACGATAGCTCCATGAGTAGTGAGAGCAGCCGCCGGCTCGCCTTGATCACCACTTAACCTATCTTCTAGTTCCTTTTCCCCACCACGCGAGTGAGATTTACGCTCTAAACTTCAAAAGTAGATATTTCGAATCATCCCACCTATCGGAAGACACGTGAGATACACGCGCCGTCATTCAATACGTTTGTTTCCTTTTATCCGCAACCTCTCCTTCCCATTAATTTCCTCTCACCTTCCAAACATATGAAAAAGTAAAAACGTTATATATATAATCGTTGAAGCTAGAGATTTGATTAAGAAAATAAATCAAAAACATCTGAATTCTCTTACAGGAACCGAACATGGAGACATCATCATCGACGTTTCTCACCACCACAAGCTTAGACAAGAGAAAACCATCTCCGGTTTCAAGAAAATCACCAAAGCAAAAGAAGAAGACGACTTCAACTAACAAACCCATCAAAGTGCGTTACATATCAAACCCCATGAGAGTTCAAACTTGTGCTTCTAAGTTCAGAGAGCTCGTTCAAGAACTCACAGGCCAAGACGCCGTCGATCTTCAACCGGAGCCTATCTATTCCCCTTCCTCCGACGACCACAACCTTTCTCCACCGCCGTTCACGGCGGAGAATCTTGAGCCACGTGTTCTTCATCAGGAGCCGTTCGATGAGAGAGTCGGTGACTGTTACGTGCCGCCGTTGAATGGGGAAGAGATGTTTTTACCTGATCAGATGTCGGCAGGTTTTTCTGGGTTTTTCTCTAATGCGTTTTACAATGTGAATGACTTTGGAAGCATCGATTCTATATGATAATCTTACAAAGTTTTTATTAGGGGTTTCATTAACTAGGTACATATAATTATGAGATCGATACATGTATTTAACCCCCAAATTGATACATGGATATGTTAATTACTATAGGGTTTGTGATGCGAATTAGTATATGAGTAAGTTATTTTGTAAACAGTTTTTTCTCTTAAATTTTATTGTTTGTTTTGTCTCACATCAAAGCTTCTGTAATGTATGAAACATATTTTTTATTTAATCAAGAAACATGTGATAATCTTAAGTTAGCGGATTAGTAAGCCTAGCTTCAAGTTCATATTGAGCATTTTCATGTACCGAATGTACCCGTTACTGCTGTTTAGACAAAAAAAAAATCCTCATAGTACTATCTAAAAACAAATTGAATTAAGAATGTTGACAACATATAGAACTTGAAAACATGCTTTAACAAAAAATAAACTTGATTAGATATGAAACAAAAAATAAATTCAGGTTATCGAGTTCTTATGTGCTCATCGCTATTCCACTTTGGTATAATAAAGTTATAGCTGTTTTTGTTGAGATTTAACCTTAAAGACTTACCTTTTCATCTCACTCACGACCATAATTAAAATTTAAAAGTTTGCAAATGAATACAAAACGCAAGACTGCCAGATACTTAACGAGTCCAGATCCTCAGAATAAAAATCTTACTCGCGGAAAACTATGTTAAAATTTCACAAAATTGGCCGAGTACAATTCTTACACACAATCGTTGTCAAAATTGTTTTACGTTGTCAAGATTGCTCTCTCACAAATAACATTTTCTTAGATAAAAGCTATCTCGTTACCGGTGCAAAAGGGTTTCTTGCTTAAGGTAAGAAAGAAAAAAAGACCTAAAACAGAGTTTTCTTCTAATAAAAGTAAACTGATATTCGGATTGCAAAATTGTTTGTTGCAATGTTGAGTGAAAAATTGTTGTGGGCAAGTCCGTACGAATAACATTTGTAGCCACAAAAGTTTGTTTCCATAAACTCCAACAACCAACAACAGCATTCATCTCATATTAGAGATTCTTTTTAGTGTAGAGAAACTTCGTTACTTTGGCCCTCTAAAGCCACCAAATTGAACAATGTCTGTATTTGGATTTTGGAAGATCATCGAGTATAATTAACTTTTGTATATACGTATCACAAAATGATTATAAAACAACAACGATTACAATGTCTGTATTTGGATTTATGTTTATCCTATTGCTCTATATTGAGTATCAACCAATATATATATATATATATATATATATATATATATATATATATATATATATATATTGTTTCATCTCCTTAAAATGTTACTTTCACAAAACTCTATTCATCAGTTTTATAAAGTATACCAAACAATATTCATCAAACACAGTGGTTCGTTGTTCACCTTTAAGATTTGATTAGTCGATTGTATTTAGTATGTTCCGTTCATTACAAGAAAGCTTCTTCTTGTTTTTGTTTTTGACAACAAGAAGAATGGTTCTTGTTTTTTTTGAACTACTAGAAACTTGTTAAAATCAATTAGAGTGTAAAAATCTGAACTTTAGATTGTGTAATATAATATTCAGAAAAATCTCTTCAACATTTTGGTCAGCAGTCTCTTACTCCTTTAGAACTAATAAACAAGCTACTAAGACCACCATGGTGTCTTAACCATTTCTTAGCTAAATCTTAGCTAAAAATTAAAGAAAAATCTTGTTAAAGACTAAGATCCAAAGCTAAAGTGGCTTAGCTAAGAACCAAAATTAACATTAAGATCCATCCATATGTCACTTTTACAAATTTATTATTTTAATACTCTTAATAACCATTTTTAAGCAACCATTGTTAATCATGTTCTAACGGTGCAACAGGGTTTCTTGCTAAAGGTTAAAAAAAAAATACTAAATCAGAGTTTTCTTTTTATCCAAATAATCTGATTATTCAGATTGGAAAATTGTTTGTGCAGTGTTGATTGAAAAATTGTTGAGAGCAAGTTCTGAGATTGGGAAGATCTTCCTTCTGATGAGATCCAGGGATCAAGAATCAGCCAACAAGAGACTCTATGATGAGGTTTTGTTTAAACATTTCTATTTTCAACTCTATTTTTTCGTTCTTTTTCCTTTTTCCACTTTTGTATCCCTTTTGCTTAAGCTCGAATCTGTTCAAGCTTCTGAAGCAAATGCACGGGAGTTCTTACGAAGCCTTCACGAAGAGCCAGTTGGATCCAGTAATTGGAGACATTGTAGAAGACAATCTAGGGATCGAATCTGAAAGTACTGTACTTGTGTCTTATAGTACTGTACTTGTGTCTTATATATGAGTAAATATTATATCATAATTATGGCCCATATGGATCCTCAATCTGCTCGTTACTATATCGCTTTACGAGGAGAGCTACCATTTAATTATGTTTATCATATTGTTTCACTCCCTTTCGCAAAATTCTATTCATCAGTTAGTACACAACAAACGTTACAAATTTATCCGAACACTTAGTGGTTCACCTTTTAAGTTTTGTTCTAGCTGACTGTATATACTATGTTTTCGTTTATTACAATTTACAAGAAAACTTCTTGTTACAATCGATCAATGTGTACAAATCTGAACTTTAGACCAATTAGATAGTTAGACTGTGCAAAATACAAAAGAAGCTCTCTTCACCATTTTTTTTTTTGGTAAGCAGTCTATTACTCATTTAGAATGGAAAAGATTCAGTAGACAAAAGCCATATAAAACACACAAATTACATCTATTTCTTCTTCTTGTTGTTGATAACTAAAAATGGCTATCACAAATCTCCTTGCCTCAAGCAACCCCGTCAAATTGGATGCCTTCAGCTACTTCTCCTCTCTCTCGGGCAAACAAAACCACTACTTGACTTGTCGTTTGACGCAGACGACTCGTAGAGTCCAAACTTCTTGTTGTAATCATGAGACGTCTTTGAAAGCTGTGACGTCGCTAGAGATGCATGAGGCTGACACACGTCGTAACTGTGACGGAGTTGGAATTCTCCGTTTCTTAAAAGCGAAAAGCTATCTCGTTACTGGTGCAACAGGGTTTCTTGCTAAAGGTAACAACAAAACCCTAAATCAGAGTTTTCTTCTGGTACAAGTAAACTAATTTTAGGATTGGACAATTGTTTGTTGCAGCGTTGATTGAGAAACTGTTGAGGGCAAGTCCTGAGATTGGGAAGATCTTTCTTCTGATGAGATCCAAGGACCAAGAATCAGCCAACAAGAGACCTTATGATGAGGTTCTGTTTTAAACATTTTCATTTGAACTTCCTTTTTCCTTTCTTTCTTCTTCATTCTTTTTTGTATCCCTTTTGTATTCCACACAGATCATTAGCTCGGATCTTTTCAAGCTTCTGAAGCAAACGCATGGCAGCTCCTACGAAGCCTTCATGAAGAGCAAGCTGATTCCAGGAATTGGAGATATTGGAGAAGACAACCTCGGGATCGAATCTGAAATAGCTGAAATGATTAGTGAAGAGACTGATGTCATTATCAATTGCTGTGGTCGTACAACATTTGACGACAGGTGTTTCCTCTGTTTCTTCTTGATCTGTTTTTCCATAGCTTGCAAACTGATGACTGTAATAATTGACTTTGCTTTTCAATTCAAATTAAACGGAATCAGATACGACTCTGCCATAAATGTCAATGCTCTTGGACCTGGTAGGCTCTTAAGCTTCGGAAAGGAATGCAAGAAACTGAAACTTTTCCTACAGTTTTCAACTGGTATGGGCTTTTATTTTCATGACTAAGAATAAGTTTCTTTTTGACAAGTTTACAAAACTAATTTGTTTTGTTGTTGTTGTTGTTGTTGTTGATATATAGCTTACGTGACTGGTAAGAAAGAGGGGATAGTACTAGAGACTCCTCTCTGCATTGGAGAAAACATAACTTCTGACTTGAACATCGACTCCGAGCTGAAACTAGCTTCAGAAGCTGTAAGAAAGTTCCGTGGCAGTGAAGAAACCAAGAAACTGAAAGAACTCGGTTTTGAAAGGTGAGAATAAACGATAAAAGTTAACTTTCTTGATGTACCCAAAACGTAAAACATTATGTTTTTATGTTATGAGAAACCAGAGCTCAACATTATGGATGGGAAAACACTTACACATTCACAAAAGCCATGGGTGAGTCTATAATTCACAGCAAGCGAGGAGACTTACCCGTAGTGATCATACGGCCTAGTATTATCGAAAGCTCTTACAATGAGCCTTCCCCTGGCTGGATCCAAGGAATAAGGTCAAAAGATCATTGTTTTTTTAAAAGAACGGATTACTAGCTTCGCTTGTGGTTTTAACTGAAATTTTCCGTATGGTATATAAAAATAACAGAATGGTTGATCCAATCATCATCGCCTATGGCAAAGGCCTGATTTCTGGCTTCTGTGCAGATTCTACATCTTTGATGGACATTACACCTGTTGATATGGTTGCTAACGCGGCAATAGCAGTCATGGCAAAGCATGGTTCTGGTGGTGTCCAAGAGCTCAAAGTTTACAATGTCACTTCTTCATCTCATTCGAATCCCCTGCGATTTGGCGAGCTGATGGACCTATCTTATCAACATCTGCGTAACTCTCCCTTGGGAGAAACAGTGATTGACTTAGCACCTATGAAATTCCACAGTTCCTTAGAATGTTTCAGCTCTTCTGTATATAACGATATAAGAAAACAGGAAAGAGATTCACATATATCCACATTGAGCAAGAAGGGAAACAGGAGGCTGGACTATTTTGTGTCCCTGGCAAGAATATATAAGCCTTACATGTTCTTTCAAGCGCGGTAAATAACATTCTTGGCCTTGTTATATTATTAAGCAATCAGATGAATACTGACCCCAAAAGTCAATACTATAGGTTTGACGACACCAACACAACAACTCTGATACAGGAGATGTCAATGGAAGAGAGAAAGATGTTTGAGTTTGATGCCAGAGGCATTGACTGGGAGCATTACATTGTCAACGTTCATATTCCAGGTCTCAAAAGGCAATTGTTTCAGGGACGATCCAGTTAAAGAGACTGTGATTTAAGTGCTTGTGACCTTGTGTTGTGCACACTCAGTGTATCATCAGCTATCTTTACAAAAAAAATTTGTTTTTAATCAAAGAATTTTCAGGATTTTACTTCATGATCTGAATCACTTGATATCCATTCCAACCAAAAAATATCAAGTTGATGACCTGAATAATATTTCCTTGTACTACAAGTTTTTGGTGTATCTATTGAAGAAACAAAGCCAAGAAGCTTTAATATATGCACCAAAATGGCAAGGATAACAACGAAATCGATCTCTAACAGTAATGATGCTTTATTGCTTTTGAAATTTTATCTTTCAGACATTTTATCAAACACTTAGGCTGCAACTAAAACTATATTTGGGCTTGGGCTCATTCAGTCAAAAGAAAAGGGCTTTGGTTGGTTTCATTTCTCAGCCCAAATTAAACCCTAAGTTGGAGAAATTGAAGGTTTTTCCTCTCGGCTCCTTATCTCCGGCGAGGATCGCCGGCGTTCTGTAACATTATTAATTGTAACTGGAAACAATTTTGCTTTTTACTCCGGAGTGTAGATAAGCAAAAGCTGTAGATGCCTTCGAAGAAGAAGCAGTCGAGGACGCCATCTCGGCTATCCAATTCGGAACCGCCTGCGTCTCCAAGAACTCCGGCGTCTTCAACAACGAGTCGAGATACAGACTTTATCAACGAAGAAGAACTTAGGCGCAGTATTGAAGAAGCGTCAGCTGCGTTTCCTTCTCTTCTCGGAAAATCTGCAATCATTGGAAGAGTAGCCGATGTTGCATCAGAGTCCATCAGAGGTTCTAAGATTTGGTTATCGGAAACTTCAATGGTCGCTGCTTCTCTCAGTCCTGGTTCTACTGTATCGGTAAGCTTTCTTCTTTGAGCTCTTCATACCGAATTAACACTCGATGATTGCAAATTTTGATCCTTTTTCAAGCTTTGAAATGCTAATGATAGGTATCACTGGCTTCTCCGGAGAGTAGATTTTCGAGAAGTTTCCCACTCAGCTTGATTAAATCTGAATATGGAGATGACAAGGAGAGTAGGATTGCTGATGAACCAGGGAACTATTTTGTGCTTGCCACCGTTTTCTCTTCTTCTAGGGTCAGATATGGTTTTGATTGGAAGTGAACTTTGCGTTCTGATTTTTTTTTCCTTGGTTGGAAGAAAGATTTCAAACTTCTTGCATTTTTCAAATTCCTGCAGGTTTTGAAGGATGCTGTTCGTATTTCATTGAATCTTTGCTATGGGCTTGGTTGTCCTGTTTCAGGCAGGACTGTTTTTGTTTATCCTGTTAGTGGACCTTCTTTAAGTGATCAATTCCACGGGAATGGTGGATCGCTCAGTGATGATGTTAACCATCTATCGCTGCTTGCCTGTAAAGAGTTGTGTTTGGAGTTGACTCCCTTCAGGAATATGTTACAAGCTAAAAATGGTTTTGAAAGTTCTCACGAGCAGAACGGAAATGGTAATTCAACCCCTAAGACACCATCAAACTTGCAAAAGTTTAGCTCTCCTCGCCCCGAATCTCCGGCTTCACCAATCTTACAGGACTCTGTTTTCAGTAGCAAGCAGCGGTTTTCATCTGAAAGCTCGATTGATCTACGAGAGGTGTTGAGCAATGAAAGTTCGAAGAAACTTCTGCAGATTTGTGCAAGTTCGTGGCTTTACCCATGTAGCCTACTATATGGGAATTTTGTGGCTGTGCCAATTCTCTCAGAAATCTGTATATTCTGTGTCAAAAGGGCTGATAAAAGGCAATCTGATACATCCAAGAGAAATCAAGCTTTTATAATCAATCAGGAAACTAAAGTCTACCTCCATCATACATTGGACTTAGCATCTGAAATTCGAGAGAGAAAATCTGTGCAAGGTCTCCAGTTTGATGAAGACGATGAAGGAGAAAATGTGGGATGTGAAATCTCAAAGTTAGGTGGCCTCTCTAAAGAATATGCAATTTTAAGGGACATAGTTGTTTCCTCGTCCACAAAGAATTCCTTATCAAGGTAACTATTGCAGTTATTTGAGCATTTTGACTTTTATTTCACCACTGCACATATATTAGGAGACTCTGTATTAGCCAAATCTATTGCGCTCAATTCTCTGTTTTTTGGATTCACTGGGAAGGTTTAGATGAAAGCTGTTGCTGTTCATCTGATTGTTAGTTTTTGTGAATATTACTACATTCTTAGATTTTTGTTTTACTTTTAATTATTTGTATGTTTATAATTGGCATGATCATTTTAGTCTTGGTTTGCGACCTACCAAGGGAGTGCTTATTTATGGACCTCCAGGCACAGGAAAAACATCTTTAGCTCGGTCCTTTGCCCGCGATTCTGGTGTCAACTTTTTCTCTGTGAATGGACCTGAGATTATAAGCCAGTATTTGGGTGAAAGTGAGAAAGCTCTAGATGAGGTTTTCAGATCTGCTAGCAATGCTACACCAGCTGTGGTTAGAGTTTTGCACCTTCCTCTTTATTATATACGTAAATTTATCGAGATGTTTCAATATTTACTTATTACCCCAACAGTAGATATCTTACCAAGTTAGCTGCTTGCGATGTGAATAATGTTGTTTCTTGTAAAGGTGTTCATTGATGACTTGGATGCCATTGCTCCTGCTCGGAAAGAAGGAGGCGAAGAATTGTCTCAGAGGATGGTAGCTACATTACTGAATTTAATGGATGGAATAAGTAGGAGTGATGGCGTTGTTGTAATTGCTGCAACCAATAGGCCTGATAGCATTGAGCCTGCCCTTAGACGGCCAGGAAGGCTTGACAGGGAAATTGAAATTGGTAAGACTAGACCTTGTGGAAAATAGACCATCCTCGATGTAGTTCAGATTCTTACTCCCTAATATGTGTTCAACTATTTCCTTAATAAAATAGGTGTACCATCTTCTGCACAACGGTCCGATATACTTCGCGTCATTCTCCATGGGATGCGGCATTCACTTTCAGACATCCAGATTGAACAGCTTGCTATGGCAACACATGGTTTTGTTGGTGCAGATCTGTCTGCACTGTGTTGTGAGGCAGCCTTTGTCTGCTTAAGGCGGCATCTTGATCAGAGTTCCTCTTCTAGCAATTTGCCTCTTGAAGAAGCACCTATTGCTGAGTCCTCGACAAATATGTCAGACATATCATCTGATAGTTCGGATTCTGCATCGTCATGTATAACAGTTTCACCCACAACTTCAGGGGCTCAGCGTACATTTAGTTTAAATGGGACAGTCTCCCGAGTAGCGGATGATATTCAAAGCAGTAGCAACTCTTGTTCGGAACAGATACTTAGAAAAGAAGACGAACGTACCTTAAGTGTAGGATTTGAAGATTTTGAAAATGCTAAGACCAAAATCAGACCTAGTGCCATGCGAGAGGTATGGGCATTTTTTTTTTCCTCCTAGGAAATTTAGCTGACTTTATGATGAGCTATTCCAACTCTTCGGATTATTGTTCCCCTCATTCTGACTCATTTTCTCTAGTTTTTCTGATCTGCTTGAGATGATGATTACTTAAGTTTATTCATGTCATATATCAAATTGCATGAATGAAAACACTTATATCATTATACTGTTATGGTACAACCTATTGGCTTTAATTTATGTCACTTCCTCGGATATCTTCTGGTTTGAATAGGAACTTTAACATTTTTCAGTTTTGGATTTTTCTTATAATCAAACAGTCGTTGGTCCAGTGTGTTGGTAGTTTTCTTTTAAAATTCATTTTTCTGTTACCTAGAGCTTTTTATTTAGAGATGTTCCAGTGCTAAATCAGACTTTACTCTATAGATAGTCTAATTGCTGAGCTATAGATAGTCTAATTTCTGATTGGTATGCAACTCTCAGGTGATATTAGAGGTTCCTAAAGTTAACTGGGAAGATGTTGGTGGCCAAAATGAGGTGAAAAATCAGTTAATGGAAGCAGTAGAATGGCCTCAAAAACATCAGGACGCATTCAAGAGAATAGGTACAAGGCCACCTAGTGGGATACTGATGTTTGGTCCTCCTGGATGTAGCAAGACCCTTATGGCACGTGCAGTAGCTTCTGAAGCCAAGCTGAATTTCCTTGCAGTCAAAGGTCCAGAACTATTCAGCAAATGGGTTGGTGAATCCGAAAAGGCTGTTAGGTCCCTATTCGCAAAGGCAAGAGCAAATGCCCCCTCCATTATCTTTTTCGATGAGATAGATAGTCTTGCCTCCATTAGAGGGAAAGAAAATGATGGGGTGTCAGTTTCAGACAGAGTTATGAGCCAGCTTCTTGTGGAGCTCGATGGTTAGTAACAACAACCCTTTGGATTGATATCTAGATGCAGTTGTCAAATTGCAGGGAGCTGATTACTTAAATGTGGAACTCAGGTTTGCATCAAAGAGTTGGTGTTACAGTCATTGCTGCTACAAACCGGCCAGACAAGATCGATTCTGCCCTACTAAGACCTGGTAAATTTACTTTCTTTCACTGATTCTTTTGATTTTCACAAACAAATTTGAATGTTCGTTTGGTGAAATTGAATATATTATAATGTTTCAGGACGCTTTGACCGCTTGCTATATGTTGGACCTCCTGATGAAGCTGATCGTGAAGCAATACTCAAAATCCATTTGCGTAAAATCCCATGCAGCTCTGATATTTGTTTAAAGGAATTCGCTTCCATTACCAAAGGCTACACAGGAGCTGACATATCATTGATATGCAGAGAAGCAGCTATTGCTGCACTTGAGGTTAGATTTTTTCATTATTATAGTAGTCCTTGTTTTCAGTGGCAAGCCTGAAATTTCTCGCAAAGGTCTCACATTCTTTTATCAATCAGGAGAGTCTTGAAATGGAGGAAATAAGCATGCGACATTTGAAAGCTGCAATTAGCCAAATCGAACCAACAGAGATTCAGTCTTACAAAGCACTGTCTGAAAAATTCCAAAGACTTGTCCATACAGATCCACAAAGAGAAGAGGAGGTTACACAACCAGGAAACAAAAGTCGAACTCTATGGTAACTTATATCTCTATATCCATTCTGTTCTGGTTATTTGAAGTTGTAAGTTACTCACTTTGATGCTATTATTTTTCCAGGACACCATTGAAATCAGTTGCGATGTTTCTTCGCCGCCACATTGG